TTTAATATCTATTTGCCATATAAATGACCTTACAAACACTGCCATGTAACTGCTCAGTAGGCTGCAGCAGGCAGCTGCTCTCTCTGCTTGGCCTGATTACAGCAGCATTTTTCCCTGGAGGGCAATCTGTGACATGTCTGAGTAAGCCAAGAACTAGCCAAGTGTGACAGCTGGAATTGGCTTCTGTGCAGCTGGTTCTTTGTACTTTCTGTCTTCACGGGGCAATAGCTTCAGAGCAGCAGTGTCCACTGAGCTCCATGGATTTACCTTGGCTTTTAAAGTCCATCTCTTGCAGGAGGTGCTGGTGGCTATCCAGTGGCTCCTGGAAGCTCAGGTTATGTGTGGTGCAAAAAGTTATTCCAAAGGTAGAGGAAGCTGTAAATCACACCAAAGCAGTGGCAGAATTACAACTCACATGCCTGTGGATAAAGACTCCCTTAACCGGCATTTGATCATCACTGGCCATACCTCCCTGATAAATATGGAATCACAGAATCACAGAATGGTTTGGGTTGGAAGGGACCTTAAATATCATCTAGTTCCAGCGCCCTGCCATGGGCAGGGATGCTTTCTACTATCTCAGGCTGCTCCAGGCACCATCCAGCCTGGCCTCGGACACTTCCAGGGATGGGGCAGCCACAGCTGCTCTGGGCAATCTGTGCCAGTGCCTCACCACCCTCACAGTAAAAGTTTCCTCTATGGCAGTGGCCTAAGGGACACTGTAGGGTTTCACTGCCAGGGCTGGTCACCCCACTTTTAGGTGTCTGGCTTATTAAATCCTATAAGGAACCCTCCTTCACACCAGAGCCAGAGACATGGTTTCAGGTGCTGGAAGAAATTTATGTAGTCTCTGGAAGCCTAGAAAAGCAAGTTTAAGTGGGGATGTGAGCTAAATATATGCACAGAAAGACCCTTGGTTGGTACCACTGGGGAGAACACACATCTGAAGAAGTTAAATTAGGAGAGGAAGAACTTGACATGCACCTGCTGTTACAGTTTCCTTGCCTGTTCTCCTATGAAACCACACATTTCCCTCCACAGTCAGGAGTCCTTCCTGCAACAGGCTGACGTGCCTTCTGCAAAATGCTTTCTTCTTTGTGGCTATGACTGCTGGCTGAGAAGAGGTAGGGGGTTTCTAAATTGCTTTCTTTGAACATTAGAGGAAGTCACAGTCATTGCACTGGTTTTTTGTCCCCCGTTGAATGATAGAGTTGGGGGCAGGCAGAACAAAAACTGCAAGTAGGAAAGGTTTTACCAGCATGGAAAAGTCTGTCTTTGATCTGAAAATGAAGATTCTTAGGAAGTGTTCAAATAGGATGGATTGTCTCCTTCTTCATGTCCACTAGAATGACTCACCCCTAGAATACTGCAGAAGCCCTCCAAGTTTTTCTGAAGGGCTGGAAATGCCACAGACAGCTATCTAGCTCTGTTTTTCATGTTATTTTGCACTACAGATGTTTCTGTGCCAACAAAGGAAAAGATTCTGTGTGAAAAACTTCAGGTCCATCGGAATGACTAGAGCTGTCATTTTAGTTGTTTTCTCCTTTTCACACTTTCTTATGAGGTGTTCCCCCCTTCATTTTTAGACCACAAAGGTTTCTGGTGTGACTTCATGCACCAGCAGCACTGCAGTGTTAATGAGGGGAGGGTTTCCACTGTGACGGACAGGATACGCTGCCTATTTACACAACCTGTTACCAAAACACACGGAAGGAAGAAATAACTTATTTTTGGTTGATGTTAAGGGGAAAATCAGTGGTGCTGGTTACATTTTGACAGAACTTAGGCGCATTTTGACCTGTTTGCCATCTCAATTCTCATCTTTTCCATCCTAATAGAAATACTGATGTAATTTTGTATATCTAGCTTTTAACATTAAACTGAAGCAAAAATTTTACATGTTGAATGTTCTCTGCACTATACTCACTTTCTCTTATAATGCTCTGCTTCAGCTCACTGTAAGTGAGCCTCACTGAACTGCCAGGCTACTTCTGCTGCCACAAGTATTTCCCTGAGATTGTGTCAAGATCTACTGGTAATGGTAGAAAAGAAAAAAAAGAGATCCTCTACAAGCAGAAACAGAAATAGAAAATTAAGTAGGAAACTGGCTGAAATACGGCAGTCATCCATGCTAGGAAAAAAAGAAAAGGGTATTCTTGAGGGAAGAGACACTTCTGATGTTGACTTGGTATTTTGCCTTTCCACAGCTTAATTTCTCTTTCAAAATTGCTGAGAAGAGATATTTGTGTGCTGACTGGTCGTGACTGAAACACTGCTCTGAGTCCTTGCTCTAATGGGACAGACTGCAGGCAGCATCCTTCCTCCCCAGAAGCATGAGGGTGCTCTTGGCTGTGTCATGGCAGGGTATTCAAAGAGCTCAGGAAGGACTTTCTTCCTGCACTGAGCTTCTGAAGCCATGGCAGCTTGGGCTGTGGAGCTGAAAAGATGTGAGGAAGGAGGAATAATTGGGGTATTTCTGAATGCAAGCCCCTGGCCAGACTGAGTATCATGCCCAGCACAATGACATCTCCTTCCAGGGTCAGTGCTAACACACATGAACTTGTCCCAGCTGGTCCCACCTGCCAGTGCCATGATGCTGGAGAACAGAGATGCCCATGGCAGGCCCACTGTGGAGTGGGATGCTGCTTTACACACCCACTCCTACCCTCACTAAACAACTAGACAGCTGCACTGTCTCCTGAAATTGTCTCCATTGACAGAGCTCAATGTCTAGATGGCTGCATGATGCAATGATACCTCTTGCATTCTTTGAAGATGTGGATTTAATCAGGAAACTGCCTTAGCTTACACACATCAGCTAAGCTACTCTTGGCAAAAGTGCTCTGCAGTGCAAGTAGAGGCCCCTGTAGAGAAATTAATAATGAAATTAATTTAAAGAGTTCCAAAAAGTAGCATTTTCTGCAACACAGAGAGGGAATGAAATACTACATTCCTTAAAGAACTGGTGTATCTCATCTTGCTCCCTCCTTTGAAAGTAGGAGAAAAATCAAGAAGCAGTCAACACAGCTGGGCTTTTCTGTTTGTTTACTTGGAAAACTTATTTTAACCATCAACTTTAGCAAATTTTGGCAGTTACAAACCTGTACACTTTTTTTTGTTGTTTTGTTTTTATAGCAAAAGAACACAAGACAATACTGCCAACAGCAATTTATGAAGGAACAATTAGTTTTCAGATGAAGAACTATACCCACTCAAAGCGATAAACCTTCCCTTTTGCATAAGGTTGAATTTTTTGTCATTGGAAAAATGACATTTCTTAATACCTACTTGAAATGGAATAAAAATCATATCTCTAGGTTTTTTGTGCAAAACATTCATTTAAAAAAGTCAATAAAAAAATCTTCTTAAAACCAGAAAGAAGTTAAACAAAAAGAGCTGAACCCAAAGGAAAGTTACAGTACACTTTGAAATGATTAAAAAGTTTTCAGATCTAAAATGTTTTTGTTTTTTCTATTATCTTAGAAGTTTAAACCAACTTTGATGACTCTTTAGAATTATATAAAACAAACAAACAAACAAACAGAAGAAATTAAAGCAACCTGATTGGCATCAAATATCTACAAAAGCCTGGTAATTTGAAACCATTATATACATTATTTTATAAACTTCTTTTTAAACACCAAAACATACATCCTTTACAAACCAGCCTGCTTGAGACAGGTAAAATTTACAAGACAATCTTTTCCAATACAGTGCTTTAAAGAGAACTGCTTTCACTCCTAAACATCTTTGTCATCTCCTGAAAAGCGGCAGTATGGGCTCATTGCATTGCTGATTAATAGTGTTTCAGGTATTCCTATGACAAAAGAATGCTACAGTTCTGAGGGCTCCAATCTCTTTCAATAATACAGTTCAAGTGCACTCTTAACACTGGTAAAGATTACTTATGGCCTTTGTGTAATACGACATATTTGCAATTATTGCTTTTCATTATTACATAAAGAAACGAATTTAATTCCATTTCCTCCCCATCTGCCCATCTCTTGGATGATGCAGCTAATTTACTAACTGAATGGCCCTTCTGATAATGGAGATGTTAAATGTGAAGTTCATGAAATACAGGCTAAAAACCATGGGAAATGGGCAATGGTCTAAATTTCTAAGGCTCAAATCACATTTTGGTGTATTGAGAGAAGCAGAGATGCAAACAAGCAAAAAAGCACAGTTTTTACCACATGGTAAATGATGGTACATTATTAAGGATGCTTCCTTTTCAAATGAAGCTTAGCAGAACTGGTCCAGGACACCTTCAACTCCCTCTCCCATGACTGCAGTTACTACTGACTGTAAGGATATACTTACTACAGCATCCATTTAGCTTTTTCAAGCAGGAGCTCGATGAGGAGTAAAGTGTGTTCTTAGCCATTTGTCTTGTTGAGCCCACATTTTTCTTTATGATGGAATTTATAGGAGACAAGAGCCACAACTTTTATGTCGTATTCTCAAAATGTCTCTGCCTGGCTCACAGAGACAACAGGCTGCTGCCTTCCGACTGATCAGCATTTCATGACATGCTTTTATTCACTGTGCTGCAGCAACACTGAGTTTCTGACTAGAGACGGTACCAATACATCAAGGCTCTCACTATTTCAGACTGCACTAGAGAATCTGGAGAATGGGAGAAAAAATTCCAAAGACCAAAATTCAAGTTCTTTGTGGGACATATAGAGGTGAAGACCCTGCTTGACAGATGGAGCACATAACCTCCAAGCTGAGGAAGACAGTGGCAGTGAGAGGCCTGTGACTCCTTCCAGCCTTTTACTGAAATTATATGTAAAAGATACCCATGGGATAGTTTGGGATCAAAGATGTCACTGAGCTTAAAGAAAACAGCTTGATTGACAGGAAATCACAGTTCTGTAGTGAATCTCTGCATTCCAAAGTCCTCCCGGTTGCCTTCATATGCTGTATCCTGTAGGAGGGTCCTAGAAGAGGGAAACTTTATGGTGGTCTTCTAGTGGGGTTGTCCATTTTCTCCCATGGGAGGGAAGTGATTCTACAGCTCCATGGTGTCACATTTGGCCCTTTATTCCACTTTAAGACACTGGTCAAGAACAGCAACTACATCCAGTATCTATAATTTTATGGGGGGTTTTTGCCCCCCCCTTTTTTTTTTTTTATGTTTATAATACAAAGGCAAAGTAATTAGCATACTTAAGAATGGTACATAAGCCAAATTCTTCCTTTTGCACAAGGCCACCTAATGTGGTATCGGTCAAATAAATCATGTAGTCACTGTAAGGCTCTTTCCACTGCCAGCATTATTAAAAAGGCCAGCACTGTGCATGACATTCTCAACTTGATCAAAACACAGAGAACATGCACCCTTTTACTTGGACTCATACACCCCTGGCAAAGTTCGTGATTTCTTATATAAATGTGTATTTGCATTTTAACAAGTTGCTTTTTTCCTCTTGCTGCTTCTTTCCAAAAAGCAAAAACTCTTGATCCTAAGTTATAAGCCAGTGATACTTCAAAGTACTTCATTAAGCCTATGAAATAATCTGCTACAGATGATTCTGGGAGAAAATACTGTGTAGTGGAGCCATCTACAGGGATGTAGTCTGAAATACAGACACAGAGGATAAGAAGAGATGTGCAGGGTAGCTCTTGTAGAACCAGGGACCTGACAGCAGCAGTGATACAAAAATCATCATATGGCAGAAAAAGGAAATATATATTGGAAGTGCTAATATGAACAGTAATTCTTACATTATGTTATGAATGTGTTCTTATGTTCCACATTAGAAGATTTTGGTATGTTTGTGCAGAGCAGTAATTAAAAAGAAAATAAAATTGCTTGGTTTAACAAGAGATGTTAATACGAAAATAGTACTCCCTAAGAGGTATTTCACCTGTTGAACTGCATTTGGGTTTTATCATTATCAAAAAGAGCCTGAACAAAACCAGAAAGGCCACAGAAGTACCAATATTCACAGAGGGGAATCTGAAGATGGATTTGGAGGAGAGGAGATATTGAGGTATAGAAATCATGAATAGGACAGAGAAGGCTGAACGGGTGATCCTTGGCACCTTCCCAACAGTACTTTAATAAGTAGGCGTTCAGTGAAATGAAATGGCAACAACATCAAACAGAAAAAGTACTATACATTGTATTTATGCATATTTTACTATTAAAACTCACTACCAACAATATATTACTGAGGCAACAAGCTTGGTAAGAAACATTGATTTTTTTTTTTTTTTGTATGGCGATCACTAGGCTCCCATCGTGCTGCCCCTCATGACACCTTTGATATGTCCCAGTAAAGGTTTGATATCGGTGTCTCAGGCTTATGCAAGAACTTTCACTACAGAAGACAGGTGACAAGTACACCTAATAACTAGCTGGGGGCTTGAACAGAATTAATTGCGTAACGAATGGATAAAAATGTCTCAAACCAAAACTGAGTAGGAGCAAACCTCATGTAAACTGCAGGCCGATGCTAAGAAAGCATCACATTCTCAGAAGTTCATACAAGCTTTAAAAGTGCAGCTAAATTTGCAGAATTGCTTTGCCAACTCTGATGCTCCTAACTCTTGAAGAGACATCAATCTAATTTCCTTTCCTGTAACACAGACTTCATGAACAATACAAGTTATGCTCTATCCGTGCCTCTAGGCTTGCCAAACCATTTTATGGCCTTCTGGCAAATCCCTCAGTTCCTTGCAATCACAACACAAATTTACGTATTTTTTTCTTCTTAAAAACACTGGAATAATATCAGGGGAAAGGGTCTGAAACGCACCATGACCACATTCAGAATATATCACTGTTACAGAAGCATGTTTACTTTGAGAAGACCAAGTGACATTCATAAATTCAATGGACAGGACCTATTTGCAGACAAGTGCTTGACAATACTTGTATGTGCAGTACATTCTTTCTAGAAGTTCTCTCATTTTATTCACATACCTGCATAATGAGCTGTTTTCTACTGAAGAACTGCCGCACCATCCCAAATAAAACATCCACACTGATCTTTCACAGCTATATGAGCTATTGGAGGGAAGCAGCAACACACTGTACTTACTCCCAAGAATTCTAGAAATCCTGTTTTATTAAAAGTGTTACAAGCTGCAATTATTTAAATTACATTCTACTAGTAATTTCTTTGTGTTGGGGAAAATTTTTGAATAAACTCTTTCTGCATGTCAAGTAATGGCCCACAACTTAATTTTGTGTGAAACTCATGTCAGTCAAGAACATGCCCTGGGCACACAGCTACTGAAACTATCCAATTAAGGTGACTGACCAAGGGACAGGACATGGAAAGCAGCACAGGAAACCTGCTAATGATTCTGTTCATTTATCACAATGATTTAGGTATTCAACAGCTTTTCAGAATGACAGAATTATGACATGGAAGAAATGGATGAAAACCCAACAGCAACGCTGGCTTTTGGGCTCACATTCACTGGTAAGGTACACAGACGCTGTAAAATGCAGTGGTAAAAACATTTTCAGAGCACCAAGAAAAAGCTGTGTATATCTGCTTTCATACATTGAGTGAAAATCCCATATTTCCAGATTGCACTTGACTGCTCTGACCAAATCAATGTGAATTACCATTTACTCCAATCAGGCTGAGGGAAGCATAAAAGCATACAGATGCCATGGTTTTCTTGATTCTACAACAATATTCTTAAGTCTGCAAACAACCTTTGGATGTACTCAAATCCTACAAAATCATGCATCCAGTGTAAAAATCTAGCAATAGATCTTTGGCCACAGACCATTCATGCAGCTCCACCGATTGAGTCAGTCTACAGCAGCTGAGAACTCATCCCGTGAACTCTAAGGATGGACATTTGCCAAAGGATGTTAAACTAATGATGTGAGGTTACAGCAGCCTTATATGTAACTTAATTGCAACTAATTTTACTGCAGTAACTGCAGCATGAGGACTTCTGTTAAAGAGATGATTGCCCCAGCAAGAAATTTCCAAAAAAATGATAATCTGCGTAGCTGCTGGGTACCCCCCTGAGCTCCCCATGAGATTCATGCTCATGTTGCACACACATTTAGAGAGGCTGTGCATACACAGCTGGGGCAAAACCAGGCCACTCCTGAGCCAAACTCTGACATTTTGAGAGGACCTCATGGGCAAATCTATGCACATGCATCTGACATAAGATTTAAAAAATGACAACCGAAGTAAGCCAATTTGGAGTAAATATAAACTGTATGGATGTGTGTTACTCTCCACAAAATAGAATGAAATGCTGTGTATTAAACAAAAGGATAGATAAATATTTATGGACAAATAACTGGTCACTTGTCTTTGATAGGTCAATTCATAGATTGCTTTTTTTTAGCCATCTGACATGTTGTATGCAGCAGCCCCAGCGATCAATTGCTTTCACTCTTTGCTGACACAAGATTTCATGCAACACTACATCCTAGAATGATCCATACCCATTCCTTAATACTGTGGGGACATCGTAACACTGTAACACTTTTAATAACACAATGCCGAAAAAAAACCCCAAAACAACCCAACTTTGTGAGAGAGAAAGAAATTATTAGTTATTTTCCCCCCTGCCTCAAAAGCTGAGTTTTACTCTTGGTAATAAATAGAATGTACACACTCTCCAGATTGTCTGTAACAATTTTGTGATGTATAATACTTAACACAATTGGTCTCTTCGTGTCTGCACATACAGTATCATTTCTGAACAAGTTAATAATGGGTTATACTGTACTTTTCTTTGCCCAATATATATATAGACACACCTTCAGCAAAATTTCTTCTCAATATTTATACTATTAATTGGACCAAATGACAAAATAAAAAAAGAAAAGGAGAAGGAAGAAGAAAGGAGCTTCCTTTACACTTGTGTCTGGTGCTGGGTCTCCACAAATGGAATGTGAACATTTTCTAGGCTGAGTTCCTCCACACTTTCAAAGTCACTCATGGCTACTTCGGAGTCATCAAAGCCGCAGCCGGCCGAGACGTCAGAGGAGGAGGCGTTGAGAGAGTTGTGCAAAGATAAGGGCATCTTTCCTGCACTAACATTTTCTGTGTTCTGGCTTGGGCCAACAGCAAAAGTACTAAATTCGTTCCCAGTCTGAGATCCTGTGGTGTCCGTCTCATTGGGGAACTGGTGGGGAGGGAGGTATTGGCTCGGGTGGAAGTGCGGCCGTCTCCTGCAGTCGGGACTGAGAGTACTTGCCATTGAGACTGGCTGCGAGGGTGGGAGGGTTTCATACTGCTCTGGGTAATCCTCTGGAAGAGGAGGTGGTAACTGGTCCTGGCTCAAAAACTCCTCTTCGTGAGGGGGAGGGTAGTCGCTGTCGATGTCGTAGCCACCAAGGTAGTAATCTGTTTCCAGCTCCCTGGTACTGCCGTGATGAGCCGAGCCTCCATCCGTCGTCTCAAAATTGGGCACTTCCTCAATGTCGGACAAGCGAGCGCTGGGCATCCAGTCAGAGGTATCCCAATGATACGCTGCAGCAGGGAAGAGAACCACAGCGCTCTGTTAGGATGAGACCACAGAGGAGAGGAGCGTCCTGCATGCACTCGCCCGAGTCCTCACAGCACATTCAAATCACAGCATGCGCCACAGGCCGCGGACATGGGTCAGCCATGCTCTGACCAGAGGGGTAGAGGAGGAGAATAAACTGCATTACGATGCTAATGCAAACAAGCAAAGAAACAAAACATGGCCACTCTCAGGCACTTTTCTTTTTAAGATGCTGCTGGGTTGTATTAGAAACTATGAGTCCAAGAAATCAAAATGTCTGAATTACTGCTTTGCACAGTTATTTGAAAAAAATCTTTACATGCAGTCAGCATGCTTATGGAATCTTATCTCCCCTTCTACCTCCAGTGACTTCAAGAAAGAAAGTGTGCAAGCAAAAAATCTGATTGACTGAAGACTGAATTTTGAAACAAAAAAGGTGGCTGACCATTTTCATGCATCTTTTGAACCCAACAAAATTCAAACAAAAGAGTACGTGTGAAGCAGTTCAAGAAAAAAACCAAATAGATCAAGTCAGAGTTCTGCCCACCCCAGCCCACAGGCAGAAGGTGTCCCAGAAAAATCACCTCTGTTGTAGTTCTGTCCTTGATCCATAACAGACACTGTCAGATACAAAGTGAAAAGCAAAAACTGGTAACTCGGAGCTTGTCACCAGCATTGTATTACATGTGAAAATACAAAACTCTGCATGCATATTTCTAAAGTACAGCTGCCATGGTGTCATTTTAGTAGGATTTTTAATTATTCTTTATTTTAACATACAAGATAAGCTTGCCTGTCAAATACAGACAAATACATAAATGTTTATGTCGTGTATTATATTCCTTTTCTATCATATCTTAATTATTTTACCCTCACTGAACAGATACAGAATTACATTAGAGCTGTAATTCTTAATACAAAAAAGGGCTATCCACCATCGACATGGCTTATAATTGCAAAGTACATTTTTTCTCTCACTTGTTCACTTTGAAACAGAAAAATAAGAATCTACCATTCTCAGGGCCGGTTCAAACAAATCTGGGCCCACCTGGGCTCAGATACCATGGTGATGGGCACGGTATAAGAACCTGAATAGAATAGAATACAAAGCCATTTAATGGGGCTATCAGCTACAATGCTCCAGAACCCCACACCCACCTCCCACCTGCACTGCCATGCTAGCTGGTGGGGAGGGAGGCATTCCAGTATGGAGAGGGTGCAGGGGTGGGGGAAAGAGCAAGGAAAGAGGTTTTATGTGAGACAAGAGCAGGGAAGAAGCTGCAGCGTTTTCTAGATGGATATGCTCTTGTTCAGCCACATGTTACTGGGCTTCATGCAAGAAGTCATCGGGCAAAGTCTCTGGATGACATTGCTGGAGGAGGTCTGGAAGGAGAAACAGACCTTTATGGTTACAGCTCATAACCTCTGTGGCTCAGACAGAGGTGAGGGCAGAGAAGACTCCTCCAGCCCTTCACCTGCTAAGACCACACCTGCCCTTGCTCATCAGCACATGGTGCATGTGGTGATGCTGATTTCTTCCTTAGCTCAATAGCCAGGCAGGAGTTCTCCACCTGCTCTGCCATGTCCTGGAGCGAGGAGGGCTACTACAGGTTTAGCAGCAGTGTCTGAACCGGCCCTAACCTCTCTTCTGCACCTCTCTCTTCTTTGTACAGTGGATTTTGCTGTATTAGGTCAGTGCACTGCACCTGAGATGTGGTCAGGGCTCTCTGAGTTGTGTGGATCAGGATCCAGGAGAACGGGAAGTGGGCAAAGCATTTTCAGTGACAGTTAAAACTGCTGGCAGACTGGCTTTTTCTGACCTGTAAAGGATGATAATGAGCCAGTGTGTTTTCTTGAGTTTTCCCTTAGGAAGGCAAGGTCATTTACAGTGCCTGTGGTTTCTTTTCAAGGTTATTTTTTATTTTTATTTTTTGAATGGTACTTTCTTTTGAATTAACCTTGGCTAATTAAACTTTTTTTTTTTTTTGATAGTGAGAAGAATGGCACTCTTACACTTCAGGAAATCAATAAATGTACTATGAACAAATACTCAAGTGGCATCACTAACTAGGATAGAAGTGTTTTACACTTCTTGTAGAAGTGTTTTACAAAATTACCGTGACACTGGCTCAGGAAAAAAAATCAGTAGTTTCACAAAAATAATTCACTTTATCATCTTTACGTATTATGCAGACTAGGTTATAGCTGAAATATGCAAAATCTGTCTTAGATTTGCTAAGGACAGATGAAGTTTTTGACTTGTGGATAACCTGAGTTGATGCTGAGTTGACATTTGCCCAAGGGTAGGAAAAACGTTATAAAAGAAATAAAAGTAATGTTTATCTATGATAACAAGACATTTCCTCAGTGCTTTATGGAAAAAAAGAAAATAGTGATATCCCCGCATTACAGGTTCACTTATAACATGATATGCCTGAGGTTACCCAGGAGGTCAGTGGAAGAGGTGAGTGTTGGGTCCTTGGAGCACATTGCCATGCTCTGTTGAACGGGCACCCCAATGCCACGGGAGAGCCACGGCATCTGTGGAGCTGTGCCCACACATCGCTGTTTGGCAGGGTTTCCTGGGAGAAACCAGCCACCAGCCAACCACCACTGTGCTCCTCTCCGTGTGATACCACTGGAGTTCAAAACCCAGCTCTGCTGCAGCTTGGGATACTTTACACACTTCCTGTGTCATCTTCTGTTTCCCAGTCTCTGCAGCCAGGATAGTCTCAACGATATGGCTCCATTATCAGTCTATTATTTTCACTGAAGGCAATGAGAATAAACAAGCAGAAACATTGACTTGAACAGAAGAGGGTGAAGGCTTGACACCTTTTCTACCACCTCCAGTTACCCACAGATATTTTGTGGTACATTCCTCTGGCATTTTCATGTTTGCTGGTGAACATGCTGATCTGCAAAACCCAATCCCTGCCACAGGATTGCTGGTCAGTGTAGATTAGTGAGGTTCTGCTGGAATGTTTCACAATGAAAATAGGAAGCATTGTTGTATAACAAGAAAGAAAAAAATTTAAATACCTTCATTTTCTATAGTGTCAACTACATTGTTGACAAGCTGTATGACAGTCACTATGGAAGCTTGCAGGGGAGGGAAAGCAGAAAATAAAGGGAGGGGAAGGACAGCTTCAGGTTAGTATTTAAAACACACATCGAATGTTACCACAATAAATTCTCTCAAAAGACAGAACTGACATTGAAAAAAAAAAAAAAAGGCTGCTGACCAATGCATGATTTATGCAGTGGGTTGCAGGACATTTCATTTCAGATAATCCCATATATCTTCAGAGTGGTGATAAATTCCAAACCAGCATTTCCAGAAAGGCATATGGGATGATGGGTATCACCTCATAAATTCAAGCAGACTGGTCAGCTGATTCAATTAACCACAGCAGAATCTTGTCTACCTGACACTAATTTCTAATTCATTCTTGCTTAGAGGTCTCTGGAGATGGTGCCATGTTCTCCAAGGATCATTATCTTTTAGACCATCACACCATCAGAAACGGTGTTAAGCTCAATCTATTTCCTAAGAGGAATGTTTTACGAATTTACAGACTATGCCGTGCCATGTAACACCTCAGGGAGGTTAAGGAGCACAGATATAATAATCAGGAGGACACATCCATGTAGCTGTGGTTCAAATTTTTACCCAGGTTTGACAGAATAGTTTCACAAATGCTTTGTTCATTCCCTGCAGGTGTTCCAACAAAACATCGTTTTCCCTAGAAATAATTCATATAGACCATGCATCTGTTTAATGTGGAGGCCTATAACGTATGGTCCTCTAGATGATCTCCATTTTGCACCACCTAATGCCCCTGCCTCTGAGAACATGAAATAAACCCCATCAAAACTGAAGGGAAAGCTCTGGATGAGTGGGCACTGGATCCTTCCCTTTGTCTTTAGTTATGAGAAAACCAGTTGCTTGGAGCAGGCGGAGAAGGGGACCAGAAGTGTGGGGCAAAATAAACTTTTTTGTTTCACACAGCCAACAGACTTAGAGGGCACAAGAAATGTGTTAACAGTGCAGACATACGTTGAATATTTTCACATCTTTGCTAAATTTTGGGCATTGCATCAGGTATGTCATTCAATTTCCTCTGTTGTAGTGAGTGCTTAGCAAAAAGAGCCTTGATAGAATCAAAGGACCTCTATGCTGTGTCTGTCATCAGCATATTTATGCCATCAACAGCAATGGTAATTATACAAAGGAGACTTGTACTGGCTAATGCCTAACAAACATTATAGAAAAATAAGGGACTCCATGCAATTAGTGCTGCATGGCTGGGAAAAAAGATGGAGGGCAGCTATAAACTATTAGAGGGAAAAAAACTGAGAGTGAAAAACAGGTCAAAAACCAGGGCCAGCACAGTTTTCTTTGCAGCTAAAGGCTGGCTCCGGTGGGAGTTGTGCAGAGCAAGTTCTCAGAAAGGAGGGAACCCCACCCCACACAGCTCAGTGCAAGCCAATGCTCAAATACAGCATTGCTCAGATTTTGGATTATAAAAATTACTGCAAACTACTCACAGAAAGACTAGGGAAGCTGAGCAATTTAAATGCAGGAGAAATAAGGTGAGACAAAAAAAAGTAGCTCCAAAATCTCATCCCATGTGAGTTTTCGTAAGACAAGCCCTTAAAACAGCAAGAGAAGGCTCCAAGAGCCCTGGAGAGGGTGAGGAGAGGCTGCCTTCTCCTTCAATGGGATTCATCCCAGTGCTCCACTGCTGCAAGATAGGTTTCCCCAGTCAGAAGCTGCTACCCAGTTTCACAGGTCAGTGTCAGCACAGGCATTTGTACATCTCTGTGAGACAAGCCTGTCCCCTCTGCCAGCCTGAGAACCCAGCAGCATTGCTCCTGGCTTTGGAGGAAGGGGTTTGGAGAAGGTGTCATTGTCCTGTCTCATCAAAGAGCGTGAATGCTTAACTGCATTTGTTGTGGTTTCACTGACAACCTTCTAACCTTCACAGGTATGTGAAGTACAAAGAATTAAAATGACAGGAAGAGCAAGGATTTATGGCTTTAGGAGGCTTATCCATTAGCCCTAGAGTACAGGCATGTGACTTATGTGCTTACTTATGCCTGGCTTTGCCCTTTAGGCTCTTTCACTGCAAACCTTCCCTGCTGCTTCAAGCAAATCAGAGCATGTGGTCTTGCATCGATCTCTGTAAATGACTCAGATGATTTAAGCTTCTTCCCTCGTTCTCCCTGAAGATATAGATTTGTTTGAACCCTGAAGTAGAAATGTTATCTCTAAAGGCCATATTTTAAATGCAGCTTTCACAAAAAATGAGTAGGCACAGAAGGTCCAGTTCAGCTTCTGTGGGTACTGTGTCACTGATTTCAGCGGGGAGAGGATCAGGAGTCTGAAATGTCTAATTAGAATTTGGGAGATATAAAAAAGTAACAATGTACAGTAAACAATCACATAAATAATTATTCCGAAGATAACTATAATATAAATATATATAATTAAAATAATACTTATCCTAAAAAAAGGCTAAAGGGTTTCTTTTGGTGCAGGGGCAGAAAAGCATTGAGAAGCCTGACAAAAACAATTGTAATTCTTTACCCACAGCAGCCCAAAAGGAACTGCAAGTGTACTTTGCTATCAGTGCTTTTTCCAACATTTCAGAGTTTCTTGAGAACAGCTGCATGACATGACTGAGGAACTGAGTCTACAGACAGTTCATTAACTGGTGGCTGAGGAAACCAAGTATGATTTCTTTGTGCTTGTCTTTTTCTGTGTGTCTGAATCAGGCTTCCCTGACATCCACCATCCCTCCCCAGCAGAAACATCTTGACTTTTCTCGGGCCCACTGCTCAACATACGTGGGCCACAGGAACAAAGGTCTGCTTTGACTTTGTGGGCCTCTCTGTGGGCTGTGTACGGCTCTGCCCGTGTCACCACAGAGATAATGGCACAGGACATGAGAGGAAGGCACTGAGTATGCACCAAACAAGGATTTAATGGTGCTCTCTTGCTGTCTGAGCTGTGATTGCCAGGGAGAAGCCAAGACGCTGGGGACTGGCTCATCTGCTCATTGTTGTGGCTGAGCACCAGAAGAGTTTTTTTGAGACCATGAATGAGACCTGGCAAATAGCCATTTTTGACTGGTGCAACATAAAAGTCATGCTCTTCCAAGAAGGAAAATGACATAAATTCTACAGGTTTCACTTGCAACCTATTTGTCAACTTACATCTTGGCAATGTGATTCTGTTGTATCATACCTCTAAGACACTGCAAAGCTTGGTCCTGATAAAACATCCCCAAGCATAAATATTTTTATTTTGTTCCTATAATTTAATAAGTGGAACACAAAGTTTGTGGGTTTGAACCCACGACCTTCTTACTTTTGGCATCATTAAAGGGTTTCAAGATGTCTCATAAATGTTTTAATAATATTAGAAAAAGAAATAAATAGTTTTTCCCCCAGCATAATAAAGATGAAGTAATTTCTTACCATTATCATCTCCGGAATCAGACTGGAAGGAGCTGAGGGATTGTACTTCGGAGTTGCTGCCTTTATTACTTCCTGAAAAACAGGTCACTTCTTCAGCGTCATCAACCCCTTTACCTTCATTGACAGCAAAGACAAAGCAAAATGGTACTCTCTAGGTATGCACATTTATCTATTTATACCATGGACACACTTAAATCCTGCCTGCTATTACTTGAGTCAGGATAAAGTTATTTCCTTCAGAAAGAGGACATGACCTATTCGTCAAGAAGGCAGTTGGTGAAGGTACCTAGACTTTTGAAGTGTTTGAAGCCCAAAGAGTCTTTCAAGTGGCTGACAACACTATAATCAATAAAGAAACATCTGTGTTCAATATTGTCTTTTTAGATGACATTTAGTCTCAAAAGCAATGAAAATGATGACTTAAGGAATGTGGTATAAACAGCTTTTACAAGAGATTACTGTTACATTTATCTTTATTGTTCATTTCCTAATTTGAGATCCTCATTAAAGGTTCATTCAATGCTCAGTAAAGTTACTGTGCATCTTGTTATTCATATCAGTGGCCCTTGGATCAGATTTTAATAGCTCCATCACTGACATATAATAGATTATGCTTCCATTTACATTGCTTTTCATCAGAGACATTCAATCTTCACAACTCTACTGTTTAGGAATGTAAGTAACTGCAACCTATGGTATAAATTCTCCTGTAATTAAGCACATATAAATAAACACATTCAACTACACTTTGTATGGGCAACAATCAGGAACACAGAAAGTTATCCTCCACTGTAAGCATTGAGATACCAGAGCCAATCACAAATAAAGCAGCTCAGGTGCTATCAACATGAAAGTACAGCTCTCTACCTGCCAGCTGTATGTATTTCTACCCAGCATGGCACACCTCCACATGGTGAGAGCTGATTTACTCCTGCTGAGGAGCAGGGTATGGAGCTGATGGAGTGAGTGCTGCAGTAACAAAGCTGCACTGCTTCCCACTCTGTGACAGCTGAGATCTGTTTCCCTGGTATGGACTCACTTGTGGTGTGCAGAAATTCATACCGGCACCAAACACATAGGAGAATAGAGAACAGAATATGTGTGGAGGCTGGCATACTGATGCTTTCAATCAGCATAACTATATTTAAAGGTTTAAAAGGTCAGACACAACACAATCCTGAAATACAGCCCAAATAAATGGAAGTTAATTAAATTTTTCACTACATGACCTTAGCCAGTGCTGCCTTGGATGAAAATGTGCCAATCAGGGCACAGGTATAAATCGTAGAATCATAAACTCAGCAAGGCTGGAAAAGACCTCCAAGAATATTGAGCCCAACCTTTGACTGAACATCACTGTGCCAACCAAATCATAGCATTAAGCACCAAGTCCAATAATTTCTTGACCACTTCCAGTGGTGGTGACTTTACCACCTCCCTAGGTAGCCCTTTCCAAGGTTTGACCACTCTTTCAGAGCAAAAATTCTTCCTGATGTCCATCCTGAACCTCCCCAGGCATAGCATGATGATGTCCTCTTGAATCTGTTGCCTCTCTCTATTCCTCAGCTCCTATTGCTTTCAACTTCAGGACTGGATTGTGCAGGTTTATGTGACAGTTTTGGTTACAGCTGTGTTGCAATCGGGTTGAAGATCATAGAATCATGGAAAAGTTTGAGCTGGAAGGGACTTCAAAGATCATTTGGTTCCAATTTCCCTGCCATGGGCAGGGGACCTTTCACTACACCAGGTTGCTCAGACCTCCATCCAATATGGCCTTGAACACTTCCAGGAGTAGGACCCCTACCCCTTCTCTGAGAAACCTGTTTCAGTGCCTCACCACCCTCACAGTAAAGATTTTCTTCCTAATAGCTAATCTAAACCTACCCTTCTTCAGCTTAAGGCCATTCATCACTACAGGCCCTTGTGAAATGTCCCCCTCCAGCCTTCTTGCAAGCCCACTCCAACAGGTACTAGAAGATGCATTAGGAAAAATTCCTAATTAGAGAAAACACATTTTAAAAACTCATATATGGTGAAGCAAACATCTCCCAGTCTATATGATGTGTTCTGACTTGCAAGAACAGACGATGTAGGGCTGTAACTCTGTCCCAGAAAACTGCTTTCTCCCGTCATGACAGAAGATGTTAATTTGCTGCATCTCCAGCAACTCATTCAGGAATGGACAGAGCACTGTTTTATCAGGTGAGGAGCCGTCAGAGCACAAACAGGTAAGTGTGGGGATTGAAGATTCTATGATGACTCTGATAGTGAATGCAGAGGGGAATGCAATGGCCTGAAAAGGTGATCCCATATATTAAGGAGTACGTGATTTTCTGCTTCACTTCACAGACACAGAAAGTAGGGAATATTAGTTCATCTCTCCCTGATGCAAAACAGGATTGCTTCTTGCAGAACATTTAAATATTTTTAACTCCCTTGGGAAACAAACAGCCTGAACCTAACAGAACTTCTATTTGAGAATTCTGCCCCAAATTGTTTTTTTCCAATAGAAAGATGATTGCATTGTGTCACTTGAAAAATGCTTGGAGCACTTACTCCTATATGCTCCCCGAACAAGTGAAATAAATGCTTTTAGTCATACTTCATGCATAGAAGTAGAGGTCTTGTATGCCTGGATAATTATAACCTTTCAAAATTAAACCAAATCACTTCTTGGAGAAAGGTAACAATTCACACGTATTAGGCTGGAGTATGAAGAGTACCTGTGACACTGTGCCTCCTGCACCCTGAAGGCAACCCTTATCGCTGGCAGGCAAGAACGAGACCGGCACGCGGTGCTACTTACTTTCTGTCCCAGCATCCCATGTGCTCTTCCTGATGGAGTCACAGTCGGAGCGACAGGGAGACACAGCAGGCAAGTTTGGCGCTACACTGCACACCACCACCCCCCTCCTGGCTGTCAGTATTCGAGGGGACTCGGGATGAAACGTTGTCATCTCCTGGTGCTCCACACCAAGCCCATCCACTATCTTGTCCAGGTTATTCCGTGAGTCACTCTGGAAGCACGGGGTATAGGCCATTGGCCTCACGGGCACCTGTGGAGGCCCCACCTCTTGGTAGATATTTCTGCTGTCTCCGCTGTTCCTGATGTTCTTGAATTGGATGCCATTGCTCTTGTTGAGCAGGGCTGCAGTGGCTGGGTCCTGTACGAGCGTGATGTTGTTGCGGGAATAGTTCTTCCTGAAAACTTTCTTGCGAAAAATGATGAAGAGAACGATTAACACAAATATGACAAACAGGACCACGGCTATTCCTATCAGCTCCTCCTTGCCAACGTAGGAATGCCCAGCTTGTATATTGGGAACAACCACGGGGCGAAGACCACAGTATTGACCCACATAGCCAGGGGTGCAGTTACACAGAAATGAACCAAAGATGTTGACACAGGAGCCACCATTTTCACATTCTTCTCTTTCACACTCGTTGATGTCTTCCTCACACCTTAAAAGGAGAAAAGGAGAGTCTGGAATCTGGAGAACATCTAAGAAGCAGTCCAGCTTGTGCATGATGCCTTTTCTGGTCAAAGTGGTGCCATCAGTTAACACCCTGAGGTACTTTGCAAATTATCTTTTTATTATCATATTATTTAATGGCATTTAATTTTTTTCTACAGCTATTCCATGGGTTTTTAAAGACAATAAAATGGAAATATCAAGAAAGAAATAAGAGTTTAAAGCATTTGATAGATATCAAGAAGGAAATACAGCATCTGGTAAGAAAAGGCTCCCTGATCCTAATGGGGTTTACTGAATGTAATAGAGAACCTGCTTTTTTTATATTGTTGTTGGACTACTCTATGGGTTTCAATACAAAATATTAGAGGGAGATTCAAGGAGGAGACAGTTGAGAAAAAATATAGTATTTATTGAAGGGAATAGGGAGAGGGGAGGAGAGAATTATATAATATGTAACATTATTTAGGTCTGGAGATAAAATAAACAAGTATCAGAGGCAGGGGGGAAAAAAGAAGAACAGGAACCATAAAGAGAGAGGAGAATTGGAAAGAACAAGAGGTAGTAAAATGCATAGGAAAAAGTACATACAGTGGTCAACCCAGATGATGGAAAAACATTGATGGGCAGGTCAGGATTTTCTGTGTCTACACCAAGTTTATGATCAAGGCAGGGATTTAAAAAAAATTACTTCAATAAATTAGCCTTTTATGTCAGGGCTAAGATGACTAAGTAGTTGATCCATTTTCAAAATAAAGATTACACAGCAGCTTCCACGGTTTTGTGAAATTGTTCAAAAATCTGGCAACACTTAGATAGGTGTATCTCAGAGAAAACTGTCTTGAGATAACATCCTGAATCAACAGTTTAGGAGGGTAAGTTCAGAAAAAAACATTTCTGAGCGTGCAAGTCTCAGGGATTTCTCAGCTGTCATTAGCTTAGATTCGGAATAAGCGCTAAAGTTGGGGTTATTTTTTGTGAGGTGAATCATAGCTTCTGGGTATAAAATGCCTGATCAAAAAGCCCACCATCACTGAGCCAAAAAGCTGCCATTGCCCACCTGGGGAGGGACACTTACGTTACTCCTGTCAGGCCATTTTTGCAGTTGCAGATGAAAGCATTGCCGATGGGATCACATGAGCCTCCATTCCGGCAAGGATTTGGGAAGCAGGCTGTGATCTCTGACTCACAATTCCTTCCTGTAAACTGGGAGAGGCAATTGCAATGGTACCCTGGGAGGTGAGGGACAGAGAGAGGGAAATTAGACTCCTAACACCGAGTCTGTCTAAAAGCAAAAAGACCCATTTGGCATTACACTGAAAAATAAATTGTACTGTGGGGGCAAGGGGATGTTTACACTCACTCTGGTCTGTCCATGTGGTCCACACTAATGCTAGTCAAGAGTTTGTCTATCTGAGATGCCCAGACAATCAGAGCTTGTGTCTACAGCCAGGGACCAGAGGAATTGCTGCAGCTCAGACCATCCTAATTGTCATGATTCAGGTAAGAATAAATGTCATTTGTGAACACCTTTTAAGAAAGGTAACAAGAAATATTCTAGATCAAGGATGTATTTCCCAGCTTTTTGAAAATGTTAGCTGATAGTGTCAGTCTACTCTCCTTTTGGGGCTTCTCTGATCAACAAATACATCGGCTGAGAGCTTTTCCATCTCTGCCCTTTACAAGGACAACATGATGGGGATGTGACAGCAATAAAACACCAGTTTTATAAAGTGCATCCTCAAGGCAGGAACTATAAACTTCAAAATACCAGCTGACCTGGGCAATACCAGCCCTAATCAGAGCTGATTATGTTCAGTGTGTGGTATCAGGTTCTGATTAATCACTGACTGCAATTCATCACACATAAATTCATGTGGAGGGGGACCCTGCTGGGGACTGAAGTCACATTTCTACGTTTTTTGCCAACACAGAGGCAACATCAAAATTAAAAAAAAAAAAAAAAAAAAGAGAGAGAGAGGCTTTAAACACATCAGTTCACCCTGCCAAGTATCAAATAGAAAATCTCTTTTTTCTTTTTCTCTCCTTCTGAGTTCATATGGCACATTGCCATTAATAAAAGCTTTATTTAAAGTCACAAAGAAATCCAGCAAGGCAGTGCATCTCAATGTTGTGAACTGGATATGGAAATCTGACTGCTTTTTCACTTGAAAAGAGAATGGAACATGTAGGCTGTGAAAGCCATGAGATGGCTAAGACAGTCCCTGGAAGCAGAAGGCTCCTAAGTTAGACCTGTTGAACCAGCAATTTTTTCCTGGACATCTGTAAAAAAACTTTGGCTGATCTTTTGAAAAGCTCCTTCTATAATCCAAATGTCCCAAACAGATGTGTAGGCAAGATTCAAGCTCCAGCTAGGGGGTTCACATACTTATTGAATACAGCATATTAAGCAAGTAAAACAAGGAAACTTCCTGTCATTAATACAGCTGCAGTTAGAGCTGAAATGGTTGAGTGCAACTCAATTCAGTGTCAAAATTATTGGCAATCCAAGGTGGTGTGGTGGAAATATCATCTCTCAGTGGTGAGCCTTTTAAATATACTTTTAAAAACCTTCTTTATCTATGCATCTGGAAAAAAAACAACCCAAATACTTCTTTAAAAAGTTACTCTTTCTGCAAACATGGCAGTCATTTCCAGCACAGTTACAAGGAAAAGAATTTCATGGAAACAATACAGAAAAACCCAGTGGAGGCATAAGGAAAAGCAATTCTGCGTCAAGACTCCCACATCTTTTATGTCCTATACGGTTCAATTCGCCTTGTTCAGTTACTCTAATTGAATTCTTTCATGAGGACAGGCTTTTGAGAATAAACTTGGAACCAGACTTGCTGGCATACTCAGTCAAGAGTCCAATACTATTTAATTTAAGATAAATGAAATAGATACTCAAATATCATGCTGTTTCATTGTCCTGCTACAAGAAGGGAGACAGACACACTGATCTTTCCAAGGTTACAGAGTTAAGAATATAAATTATTCAACTTTTGGGCTTCCCAGAAAACATGTTTAGTCAGCATCAGCAAGATGGGATTATTTCTTAGTGTGTCTTAAAAGTATCTCACTCAGACAATGTGAACAGCTTTCTGGACCTATAGTGATCTGGGTCTGAGGAATCACAAACCTGTGCCTGTAGGTAGAATTCCCAGCATGAATAAATAAGGCTGTTTCAGTGCTTCCTTTTTATGACTGAACAGTGACATCTATAGTTCAAAAATTTACAGTAATGTTTATATGTTTTTTACAGTCTCAATGAGTTTAAGCAGAAGGAGAATGTTCAATTCAAATATAAATCACTTTATTCACAATCAATTCTGTTGCTTTTTATAACAACAGAATATATACATTATTCTATTTGTTATCTGATATTTCATAAACCTCCATAACTCTAAAGTGATGTTAAAAGCCAAGTTTCTGTTGTTTTTTAACCAAGGTCTTAGGTACCAATCATTTATAAGACAAACATGTATTTATGCATTTTATACGAGGAAGAGATGAAACTGAATGCACCAGATGGGTCAGAGCCCTGTCCAGCAGTGTATGAACAAGACCAAAATCAAAGTCTGCTTCCGAAAGCCTACATTTTTCACACAATTTGATTTAATGATGGTGGAACACACATCAGATATGAGTAGACTAAAGAATTCACTATAGATTCTAAGTCTAAGGATTGAAGTTAGAAATCAAAAAGGCACTAAAACAAGGCAGTATTAAATTACCATATTTACCACTGGTGTTTCCTCTCGTTGGATTCACTGCCATACACCTGCCAAGTCCAAGGCCCTGGCAGAAGATACAGAACTTTTCTGCGACACACACACGCTCAGAGCTGCAGAGCATTCACCCAAGAGGTCTCTGACACAGCACATGGCTGTGGACAAAGGTAAATTGCAAAGAAAACCCTTCTGGTTGTGAGTGTATCTTGGGTCTAATAAAGGATTTTTACTATATTTTTAATTAAATATCCTGCTAATGTACCATTTATTTTTTCCCTCCTGTTTAGAACAACAAGCATACTTCTCACAGTCAAGGATGAGAAAAGGCTGAGTGTCCTGTTCTCTCAACAAGCATACTTCTCACAGTCAAGGATGAGAAAAGGCTGAGTGTCCTGTTCTCTCAGCAAGGGATGAAAAATCTCTTTTAAACAATGTAGGGCTTGATCCTGTTCACAATGAAAGCACTGAAGTCTTGGAAATTCATCAACATTTAAGATCATACAGTCCATCTGAGCTTCCTCTAAGGGGAAAGAATATTTCAGTCCTAGAAATGTTGATCTTCATTCCCCAAGGCAGATCTCCAAGGCAAATTTTGTGATGTCACCACTGTATTTCTTCAGAGGGAATCAGTGGAAAAAGACAGGAAACTCTGGAAAACACCTCTGAAATGTTTCTAGGTGGGACCACAACACTCTCAGCATGTGCTTTAGCAGCATGTACCAATAGCTGACCTAAAAGCAACAACAAGCTATGAGCAACAATACAGCCTTTTTAGGCTGTATCTACAAGTTAACAAGTCCTGCAGAAGCAGCAGCAGTGGGTCTGTGGAGCCAAACAGCTGGTGCTGAGGACCCAGCACCCTCACTGTGTGCAGCTCAGGGCTTTTGGACCAGCAGTCTTCCAATTCAGCCTGGTCCTACCCTCCAAGACCTTGCCTCTCTACAGTGGGAAGTGAAGCCCAGGGAGAGATGACAATAGCAAGAATCACATCAAATATTGTTCATGACCTGAAACATTATGTAGGAATAGGTCTGCACATGGTCTTGGGCTTACTGGTTGTTTTATAAGGCTTGTCTCATGCTCCTGCGTTAATCTGAGTCCCTCTACATAGTTAAATCTCACCTTCTCACTGTGATTCAAACAGCTTCTCTTACTGCCCTCTTGGCATGTCCCTATCCAGAGGAAAAGGTGTTTTTCATCCCAGACCTTACTGAGGAGCAACATGCAGTAAGACAGGACACCACACAGGCTCCCTGCCTATACCTATGTTTGCTTGGCACTTAGGAAGCAGAGGCAGCAGCACAAGGCAGGCACAGTGCCATCAGCAGATGGGGTGTCATTATGTAGCGAACATCTCTGTTGGTAGCATTCCCAGCCTGAGCATCTGAATGTCTGTCTATCCTAAGGTTTACTTGGCTTTATTAAAGAGGATGCTCCGAACCGCTGCCAATTTTTTTTTTTTTTAACATGTGTATGCTCCTGTTTCTATCTATCCCATGCAAGACAGGCTGGCTTTTATCTCTTAACGTGTTTTGGCTTTTCCATTTGTCTCTCTGTGTAGTTTCTCTCCCTGCTGTGCAGCTAAATCTGACAAACTCAATGTCCAGAAACAGGCCTGCGCTTGGCATTGACCACAAAGGGTTACACAGAAAGTTAACTGATGAGAACTACTGAAGGTAAAGAGGACCTCTCCCAGCATTTGTATTTTGGTAGGTCTATAGTCAAACCAGGCCACCCTCAAGTAGTGTGTGTTCTTCAGCTATACACAGTCCTGCCACTTCAGATTTAACTTATCTGTCTTCAAACAGATCATTGCCTCCTGCCACTTGTTGGTATGAAAAAGAACCTCAGTCTTTGCTGAACCAGTGCTTTCTATGAGAGTTTTGGCATGTACATGCTTTTAAAGAGGGAATACAAGAACAGGTGCCTATAATCATAGGCATAAAAAAGAGTATGAACACCCCCAAAATTTCTAAAAGAGCTTTTAAATATAATTGATGTGCATTTGGTATACTCATATCACAGTATGCTGGGTTGTTAGTGTGTGTGAAAAAGCAAGATCAAAAACATTAGTAAGACCAGGTCACTGGTATTATTATATTAATTTTTCCCTTATTTCTTTCTTATGAACTACTTGATCCTCAAAACCAGCTGTGAATAATGTTGCCAACAGCATTTAAAACAAGTATTAAACCCACCACCCAAGTGCCATTTTCTCCTTCCTTTGGATTTCAGCTCTGTTCATGAAAAAAGAAAATAAAAGGAAAAAAGAAAAGTGAATAGTGGGGAAAGCGAAATGAGTTTATGTCCTCACACTCTGCCCATGGTCCTCCTTGACTCAGTAGTTTCTGCTCAAATGCTTCATGTTTAAATAAAATCGCCTACTCATATACGTCATTTATGTTAATCAAAGCCAGATGTATATAGGACTGATCAAATTAAAAGGAAGTAACTTATAATTGCAGGCTTTACAAACATGAGGTTTCTCTCTGTGGTTGAAAACCTTGATGCAGTCTTTGCATGTGATTACAGTAAAGCTTTCTATTGCTGAGATTGCTCATGCTGTTACTCATGCAGATAAACATACATTTACTATTGGCAGCCCTGGAAGTGCCACACTATTATTAAGGTTGTGTGACATTTCCCATTTTAAGACCTCATATTCAGCAGCTTATAGCTTAACCACACTTTAAATACTTGGCTGAATTTTCTTGGGAAGTTTCAGTTTAGAAAGCCAAGCCATTTCTGAAAATCATGCTGTTCGTCCGGTTTCAAAATGCTAGTGTTCTTTAAAAATAGCTTTACTGACCCATACTTATGGGTAGGGACTGAAAAGTCTGGGAGAATGTGGCTTGTATTTCAGGTCTGTGGTTTCCACTGTCTCCCAAGAAAAATGTCCTAAGACTGACTGTATCTCTTTCTCCTACAAGTCTCTTGAGCTGTCAGACCTAGTGAGTGCTCATCCCCCTCTGCCAACCCCTATTTAAGAATGCATTGGATCTCCCCATGGGGCCTCTGGACATGCAGTCCCCCATCTTGAACCACTGACATCACTTTGACCAACACTGTGGCCATGAGAGCAAGCAGAAGTTCATGCCACAGTTGCTTTCTGCTGGCTCAAACCAGAGTCTGAAAGCAGAGAGGCTTTTCTGTACTCCTGGGAGTTCCCATCTGAGCTGTCTGTGCTCTCTCATACAGGCTGGGATCCCCTTTCTGCCCTGTTCCATATGCAGAGAGGACAGGCAGAAAGAGCCACTGTGGGTGAGCGTAGCCCTGTGCCAGCCCTGCTTTGGGCAACCCCTCTGTGGTCATTCCTGAGCTCTGTGAAGCCCAGGCACAGCCCTGCCCTGTGCCAGGCACTGTGAAGCTGCTGGGAACATAACCATCCAAACCCTAACATCAGCAGCACAGACACACTCCTGGAGCACACAGAACACTTCCCCAAAAAGGGCCACGGTGTGACCCTATTCCCATAACCACAGGATGAAGCCAAAGGCAATTGAGGCAGCTTTTTTATTAATGGTGAACAGGGCAGTAGGCATTCCTACTGAAAGGAAGATCTCACAACAGGAATGCTGTTATAGAGGTTTGTGTCCTAGAAGTTCAATTTATGCAAATTATATGTAAATCAGACACAGCCTCTTTGACTTCTGGTATGTAGCCAGCAACTCTTTCATGTTATAATGTTGGGTGACCTTTGCTTGACTGTTTTCTTCTTAAGTTAGCTATAAATCTCAACTTTCTTTTTCTCTCTCCTGATTTTCTTGTAAAGCACAGTAGGTTGTACATTACAAAAAGGATGTTAACAGTATATGAAATCTGCTTTGTAAAATTTGAATTAGAGGGTGTATTTATTAAAACAAATCTTATGCCAAATATTCTGTGTTTAGGAAAATTAACATTATTCTCCAAAAACTGAAAAAGGAGGATAATATCATAGAAAATACAGTCAAGAGACCCTAATGCTAATGAATGCCCTGCAATTGGGAAAAAGACCTTTGCATGGTATATTTTTTGCATTCTTCCCCTCACCAAAAAAGAAAAAAGCTGATGTTTTGATTCTTAAGAAAATTCTTTAAAAAAATGAAGTGGGTTTTTCTCCTATTTTAAATGGAAGTCAGCTGCTAATATCTGTCAGCAAGTGCAATAGTTGATTGTCCTTAAATGCACATTGCAATTTGTGGCTCTGCAACTAGGACTTGCAATGCTGTCGGACACTCATGCTCTTAGAATTCAATTATGTGTCCTTTCAGCATATGGAGGACACTAACAACAGAATTGCTTTGCCTAGTGGAAACAAAAATGCCCATGCCTTCTCCTTAAGGGCTGGGCTGTAGAACCACCGACATACAGTCAGGGCCCATTGCACTGGAATTATGGCTTTATAACAATCCTTTATTTACACACACTGCTGAGACAGTAAAAACAGCAAACAGATTTTTTGACGGCAGGCAGCCAAAACATCCCTGCAGGGCACACGCCCCTCGCTGAGGCACGAACACAGGCAAGTTAGATCAGTTCTGTGACTGCTTTCCAGCAGCAAATTTTGTTGACACAAAAATGGTATTTGCCATTCCAGTACTAAGATGGGTCTAAACTTCAGGGCTGCTCGTTTCTCCCCTTCACCATGTCTCCCCTCAGTTCGAATTGGCATGCACATGGCGTTGGGAAAAACAGAATTACTGTAAGGAGTTCTGTTAGAAAGGTTTCAATTTACTCATCATGAGATTGCTGAGCAATACTGTAAGTAGACTCAAATAAAATCAATAGAAGGAACTGTTACCATGCTTCCTAGGATGTGAGGTGAATGGTTACCTCATTTATTAATTATGGACTCTGAATCAAAGCCATCATACATACGTTCCTGTACATACTATGGTCATATTTTCTAGGAATTTCAATAATCGTGCTTAACAATTCTTCCAGTGGCTGTGGCATCCTTCTGTCTCAGAATAATTTTCTTTAGCCCTTGTTGTGCAGCCTTCCTTTTCTCTCCCTCCCTTGGTAAATAAATAAATAAAGACCTTTAAGGACAAATACAGACACAGCACCATTTCTGTTCATTCCCCACAGCAAATCCTGGATTGCTAAGGCTGTGCTTTATTCCTTCTAACTGTCCTCCCATCTCCACAAACGCCAAAGATCCACAGGAGATGCTAGCTGAGACAACCCAGCACGGACAAATCCACATTTTCAGGACTTACTTTATAAGAGTGGCACTGTCCAACTGAGAAACTTATCAGTTTTGCTCAGATCTCACCACATGTCAGTCTTGAATTGATCTGAAGTTTAGGCCTAAAAAATCTGTGTGGTGGAGAGGACTCAGAAAGAAAATATGAAAGTCATCCATAAACTAATGAAAAACAGAAATAATAACTATGGATGCAAGGAAATTGCATGGACACATTAAAGCAGAAAGCCCTGGGACAGTGGTTAAATGCTCCATAAAACAAGAGTTTAGCAGGAACTTCCCTAGAGAATCATGACCAAAACTCACTGACAGTAAGTGGATGGAAAGCTCTGAACTTGCAGAAAATCTCTCTGTTCAGCAACCTCCTTTTCAGAGAAAGCTTTATTCTGCTAGAAAAGGTGTGCAATGCTGCATGCTAATACAGTATGGGGAATTGGAAAGGAAACTCCTACACTGCAGAAAGAGAACTGCCCGAGAGGGAATGTTCTACATGTGTGCTATTTACTTTTCTCCTGCTAACATGCTGACTTGCCCTGGTAACTTGGGAACTGCAATAAGTCACTGGCATCAAATCACACAAACCACCACATAACCACTGGATAGGAAACTCCAACACATGCACAGTTTAAATCAATGCCCTATAAAATTTGGATAATATTACTTAGACCTTAGAGCAACCAGGCCTCCGAGAAAGCTGCAAAATGCAGTTCAGGTGGGTTTATAATGGCCCAACTTGCTATTTTCCATGCAGACATGTAATCAAATTACTCACTTACAAAAGGACGAAGGTGTTCGTAGACAGCTCACTAATTATTTGTGACAGCTTCGGAAAGAGAGCAAGGCAACATTGCTGTTGCATCTGTGATGGACATTTCAAATCACCATCTTTGTGTACAGCCCCCAATGCTGTAAGGATGCTGTAAATGGATTCTGAAAAATCCAGCTGAACATTACAGTAATTGTAATTCTATTGGTTTCTATAGAAATAGGATTATACTAACAGCCAATAAATCAATTTCCTCCTGGAACACTAATGCAATAAGAAGGGGCACCATTTCACTGTTATTTATAGAGCAAACAGCTTTTACCCAATTTGCAATACCTATCAGAGTTTTATAGAGTTCATGAGATTTTTCAAGCATGTTGCTGCATAAAACCATCTCTGGCAATAAATTAGAGAGGAAAACGGGGAGGGGGAAGCCCATAAAGTAATGAAAGCATTTACCACCAGATGGCACGGCAGTACAGGTGCCGCCGTTCTGGCAGGGGTGTCTCTCACAGGCATCGGGATAAAGGACGCAGCCAAGCTTCAACTCCGTCAGGCCAACCACTTCTGCGAAGCTGCTGCGCTTGTTCTGCAGCGGCAGCTCGTTGTTGTTTAGCACTACCGAGTCCAGGCAGCCCTGGAAGCCGCTCAGGACCTGCGTTGTCCTCTTGTCAGTCAGGCTGCGGACGTTATCCACTTGGACCTGGGCGCCGAAGTAGACGGAGCTATCTGTGCTGAGCGTCTGGAAGTAGAGGGGGGCTTTGCGGCGCTCCACGTAGCTGTCGTCCAGAGACAGGCTCGTGAAATTGCGGTTCAGCTCCAGGAAGACCGAATGCCAGCTTCCATCATTAACGGCCCTGCCAGAAATCCCCAGGATTCCTGGGCCACTTCCGCAATCCAACTGGAACCAGAGTTTGCCATCGACAATCTGCAGGAGGAAAACAGAAATCAAACCGCTTCAGGCACTCAGCTGTCTCCTAATCTCACAGGGAATCTGGAAGCACAGACAACTTCTAGACAGTCTATGCGTACTGTTAAAGCTGCTCTCCTACATGACACTAAACCAGCAATAAGTTGTGCCATTATCATGAACAAAAAAATAAAAGGTGGAAAATATCACCTTACTTCTTATTTGCCCAAAGCCAATTACTGCAGGAAAACTAAAAATATAAAAATATCATATGGGGCAAAACTGGGATAATTTTATGTTTTACTGATCGGGATATGAACTTGAGGACCCTTGTTCTGCTCTTGGCTCTGCTGTTGAACAACTGTGCGTCTCTCTCAGCAAGTCTGAGAGCTGTGATTCTGCTCCCAGTGGTTGATGTTACCAAAAAGATGGTCAGGGCACAGGATCACCTCTTAGTGTTTGAGGGACTTGTGTCAAAAAAAACTCAATGGCCACACTTTCAGCTGTTCATGTTAGGTACTCTGCTCATGCAGACATCCTGTGCTTCTGTAACCTTTAGGAGCATCTCAGTGAGGGGTGGAGTTGTCCCTAAACATTGTAAGTTCAGTATCTCTAATTACAACAGTAAGATACTAGTTGACCCAAAGTCAGTTATTTCCCAAAGATGCTACACAACCTGCTCTGTGTATACCTCAGAGATTATATAAGATGGGTCTTCCTTTTCTTTCTTTCCTAAGATTTATGCTGGACTCATGGATTTAGAGTTTGTAGGGGATTTCTCACTCTCCCTCCTGTCCCTCACCCATCCCAAGTCCTCATAAGGGAAAATCTGTGCTACCCTACTGGGGCAGGCAAAGTGTAGAGTGAGGGAGTGGGTATGAAGTGCTGCTTTCCTGATTAGCAGTTTACCCAAAGATTTTAGGTTTCTCTAACAGATGGCATATAAGTTTAAAATGGCTGACAAAGCTGGAAATAATTTCTTATGACACATTAATTGTATTCAAGTTTTCTGAAAGCTCTTTGAAGTATTTTACCTTTGTCATGCTCCAGGAAGTATTTATTTCTGCAAACCCCATTTCAAGACAGTTATGCCCCATTATTTATCCCCCTGAAAAGTTCAGGTACTGTGTCATTTTTCATCCTTCCAGGCAGCTCACATTGTCCTCTCACTGGTGTATCTGTTATGGAGTCTGACTGCTCTCCCCCCAGTGAGAGCAGAGCTGCCACAGCTGTCTATGCAAGAATCCCACAGAGCTTTGGTGGCCTGCTGAATTTGCATGGCAAATGCAGATGTGAGGATGCTGCAGTGTGTCCCTCTGCCTTTGGCCATTTTTGGCCATTTCAACCATGAACAGTCATGTTAGCTGGAAACATCCCTTGGCATGTGACTGTGTGCTCAAACTCTTCTCAGCCAGGCTCCCTGATGTGGCTTGAAGGTAAACAGGAAAGTGTTAATCTAAAGGAGCAGACTGTGCTGTCATGCCATCATCAGCATTTTATGTCCTTGGAGTTTGACAAAATGACCTGGAGAAAAGCTAAGGGTAAAATCTCGAGATCCGTAGATCTCTGGATTTCCTTTTCTGCACACTCGTGGTTTCTTGGCTGGCTGAATCTGAACTGGACTCCAAGCCAAGACACACATGGCAGTCGGGGTAAAAACCACACCACTCTGCTCAGTCATTGCTCAGCAGCATGGACACAGAGCTGCTAAGGATGGGGCAAGCTCCCTACAGATGCCAGCTGCCCACTTACTCTGCATGGTTTGAAGGGGTGTAGGGGAATTAATACACACATAGAGGGAGCCATGGGAAGGAGCTAGAATTAGCCCCTGCTATGAAAAAACGAGTGTTTTGGAGTCCCTGATCTGAGGATGTAATGAAACTGAGAAGAAATCAGATCTATGACTGTAATACATGTTAAGGGATGGATGTTGCTTGGTACTCTTACAGCTGAATCAAAAAGGCTAATAGATGTATTGAATAATGAGTCCAGAACATTTTTAATTTAAAACCATTTTTTTACAGGACTCAAAATTCAGCCATGAACAGTTTCTGTGGATTGAAATTGGGTCTGTTAAAGCATATTCTCTCAGGAGGAATCTTGAGATGCCCTGATAAACAGAGAATTTTTTCTCTCCAGAGATACAAACTCCAAGAACAATAGTTTTTTTCCTCCCTGTGCACAAAGTAGTCCATAAACACTGAAGGTGCTGCTCAGAAAGTGTGGTCTGTCTCATCAGGAATACAAATCAAACAGAAAAATGCATGCCAACATATTACACTTTGAAAAACAGCCATCACTGGATAAGCAGATAACTTGCTGCTTACTAAAAAGGCTTTTCCCTATGGAAACTCTTCTACTGATTGTGTATAATATACATACACCTCCCCTATGACTACTTATGCCCTGAAGGACCTACTGCCTGCGTGTCTATTACTCTTACTCACAGAACATGTTTTTCCAATTATCTTTATAAATACAACACCACATTTGAGCACCTGGGATAAATATTACACCATTTGTATACAGGAAACTATGATCTAAAAGATTTTCCATTAAAATATGTTTTATACATCTTTCTCATCCACTTTTATTTCTTTTTACCAGCAGATGATCTGACATACACAATAAATATGTAATTGTCTGAAGGGTTAAATTTCCTTCCTGTTATTGAAGAAACACAAGTAACCTCTAACTAGAGTGAAAGATGGAAAGGATGGTCTGATGCTTACAGTACTAAGCTAAGACATGACAGATCTGCATGGGAATCCACACGCTGCAACATTCTTCCTCTGAGATCTCAAGCAAGCCATTAGTTTCAGGTCTCCATCAGTAAAAGAGGGGTAACGTCATTTCCCTACCTCACACCACTGCTTTATGGACTCATACATTAAAGACTGTGTGACATGCCCAGATACCCCTAGCAATGGGACCAGAAAAGTACTTTCATTAATCAGATGGTCACGGGCCTGGCTGTAGAGGGGCTGGGAGGAAATATTTGTCCCCTGATGGACTTTGAGGAGGAACACGAAGAACAGGAAGAGCTGGCAAGGAGCAGATGCTGCAAAAGGCTCCACTCTTGACTACTTAGCAGCTAGACTGGCCAGACAGGGAGGTGAAGGTTCTTCCACCTAACAGGCAAAATTGCTGTCCCCAATCCTAAGCACAGAGAATTCAACCATCATTCAGCAATTTATCCCTGGCATTGCTGTGATTCCTTGTAACCACTGAGATGTCAGGGTCACTGCCCAGTCCTCAGAGAGGGTTCTTTGATTATTGCCTGGACCTCATATAATCCTAGTACCAAGGAAAGCTGAACTTCAGTCTAACTGAGGGACATTCAAGCAAGAAGTACGGACATGCAATGAATAGCCAGGCTCTTGTCCAGGCTCAGCAGCTTTCCAGACAGCAACCTCAATGGCATGGTTGGTCTGGCTGAGAGCTGGTAGTGCCAGACTGTCAGTCCAGCACTGAATGTGTGGCATTGCTATTTTTATCCACCTATATAGTGCAACACAGCAAAAAGCCCGAGTTATTCCATCTCACAGCAGAGACAAGCAAACTTTTCAACCTCTTACCAGTGCAGCCCATGGCACCAGCAGAGACCCTCTGCACCATGAAAGCAGAGAGACACTGCTTCATCCTAACTGGGCAGAAAATTCCCACAAAGCCTCCACTTCCCAGAGCTTTCCAGGTGCAGGTTTAATTACAGTCTCAGTTATAACAACTATGACAGGGAGGTTAATGTACACTTAAGCATATATGCCACAAGATTCCTCACCTGTAGAGAAGTAAAAAAGAACAAAGAAGACTCCAAAAGCTGATGCAATCTGTTACATTTCAACAATTTCATTCAATGAGCAGAATGGAGCCAAACACATACTGTAAATTATATTAGAATAGTAGTCTGGCTAAGATGTTTGGCTAAGATCCATATTTGTGTATCAACACAGGTAATAAAATGATCAAATGGTTCTTCTGAGACCACCTCCAGCTCACATAGTCCATCTGCAGTCAAACACCATGGATACAGCATGCTGCCTCCTAATCTATCTGGGGAAACATTTTGTTAGCTGAATTGCATTTCAGGTTCATTTGTGTAAAATGGTGTATTTAATTAAAATATTACTCGTTTCAACTCCAGCCACAACTGGGATCACATCCAAACTTCAGTCCTATCCAGCATAAGACATGCAGCAGTAATGCATTAAAATGTATAATACTCACCTAACTAAACCACGCAAAGTTTCACATTAACTGCCTGGACAGAAGAACATATGCTTGCCTTTTACAATTTAGCTGCTATATTTATGGCATGATGGGAAAATCTGTCTTTACCTATTTTTAATCCTTAAAATTTCACAAAACAAGATGAATCTCCATTATATTCCACGGCGGGGGCGGCGGGGGGGGAGGGGAGAAATGGAATTATCTTCTGCAATGGCCTTGTAATGTTCTAAATGGTTAAATCTTACTTTTCTGTATTAGCTGCTACATAGGTAAAAAGGAAAAGGTGGTACTCGTTTTGGGACATGCAATCTTTCCAAAAGAAAAAAAGCCAACATTGACCAGCATCTCATTTTGCTCCAATTGTCTTAAAAGCAAGAGAATGCAACAAAAAAAATATGGCCAACCTCTCAAAATCGATGGATGAGTTGCTTTATTTGAAACAGCTGAATAAATAGCACCCTTATTTTATTGTATCAATACAGTGTAGCTGGTAGGCTTTCAGCAAAGTAGTAGACAAGCAGTTTGCTCTATGGAATTGATTATTCAACCAGGAAGGACACTGTGTTAAGATTATGAAATATTTCCATCCCTGGAGTACTCACAAATGTATGAGCTTCCAAAATTAAGCTGGCCATTGAAACACCAAAAAGCATATTGCAGCATTAATGTTTAAACAGTCTGCAATGGCAGACTTGCTTCAAAACAATCAATTCCACTCCATGCCCCAAGAGCACAGGTGTTTTCTGCCTGTTGCCCCATGGGTTCATACCTTATGGGTCTACATTTCTTCTGTCTCTGCTTTTATTTGAAGCTCAGTGATAGTGCTGGGCTCTCTGGTGCTAATCCAGCAGATACTTAAGTAGATGCTTAAAATTAAGGTATCTGAATAGTTCCAATTGCTTTCAAATACAGGAAGTTAAGCAAGTGATTAAGTGCTTTGCTGGAGTGATGCCAGAGTGCTCAAAGGAACACAGGATTTCATCCTTTATCCTCTATTTGGAAAGCTTCTCCTCATGTTTAATTTAATTGAAAGCAATGCTCAAATGATAACAACTTCACATTTATAGACCTCTAATTAATCTGCTTAATGGCCTCATTTCTGAGCGCCTCCCTACCTCCCAACATATGTACCTGGTTAAAGGAAAAAAAAGAAGCCTTACCTCCGGTTTACAAATGCAAAAAAGTGTGTTTAGAAAGTCTAAGCATAGCTTCCTTGAAAACAACTGAGTCAGGGATCTCCAGAGTGCAGTCCATGAGTCAGCTGCCATCCCTGAAGAGACCTGATAGGGCCAAATGCCTTGAGCACGATGCCATTTGTCTGCCACAGAGCACTTTTGTGAGAATTTAGCCTCATATTCCTCAACTAAAAGACCTTCAAAAACTAAACTCTGACAATTCCTGATCTTTTAAGTGATACCATTCCTTAGAAAAACTATGCTGAATGTAATGATTTTGTTTCCTTTAAACCCCATGCATGCAGAAGCCCAGTGCCAGACCTGGGAAAAGGACATACTCACTGCAACAGTGATTTCTGCCCTACTGAAAAGCTGAGCATGAGGCTTTGAGAAGGTAATTTTCTATGTCCTCCCCTGATCAGTGCACAGGAGAAAGCAGAGGCTTTGCATCCATCCACGACCCTGGACCTCACTCATCAGATACGTAAGGTAGCAGCTGCATTTGAAGCTCTCTACTTTTTCTTTCTTTGTTTCTTAGACATAGGAAGCAAAACAGCTTGACATGGGGGTTGCTGACTGAGATTGGAACACAATAACCACAGCTCTTGTTGCTGCTCCTTGAAGTATTATTTTTAACTCAGCGTCTTTCATAGCAAAATAATTATGTGATTAGAACATAATTCCTACCTCACAAATAAAATCTCAGTTCAGGTGATTGCAAAGGGGGGTTCTCTTACTGATTTGAATTTTTTTTGTTTGTTTTTGTGTTCATTTGGTTTTGGGGTTTTTGCTTGTTTTTTTTTTGGTTTTGTTTTGGGTTTTTTTGTAACAATAGTAGTAGCATCAGCTTTTCTATTTTGGTGGCAAAATTTCCCTGCTTCAAAAAATTTTCACTCAGTTGTCTATGACCTGGATATGTCACGCTCCTTTAATGATGAGAGCTTTACACACAGAACTCTAGCAGAATGAATTCTCCTATCACCATTCTAACTCCCAATTCACACCATCCCTGTATCTCCTATTGTTTTCAAGAGTGGCACCTTCCACCAGGGTTATTTGGTTTTTTCCCAGGTGTTTTTCCCAGGTATTTTTTGAAATTACAAAATTGCAAACATTATCTATGGGCATATGCTAAGAGCAAGAACGATGAAGACTTCGAAGAAGGTCTTCCAAACCTGCAGTTTTGCTTGTTTATTTTTTAACCAAAAACATATGCTTGAAAGTTCAAACTGCATTTCTATGCGTCTCAAAGCAGAGCTTAATTGTCTTGTGCAAATCTGAACAATGCTGACAGTGCCTGGTGAATGACAGACAGTACTCCTGCTCATTAAATACTTCAGTCTAACAGCTATAAAACTGTTTGTTGCCCATTAATAACTCATTTAGCCACTTTAACATTACCTAAGCATTCAGCCAAAAGTACCCTAAAGATTGCAAATACAGACACAAAAGGCTCTGTGCCAGTTCTCCCACTGCTGAACTATAGCATGTGGCTGAATTACAAATGTCAGTGTTTTCATTTTGTACTTTAGAGGCTATAGCAGAAATACTATATGTGCAGGCTCTTGGATGAGCCTAGTACTCCCTTGCCATCCTGCATTTATTTGCCAATCCACAGAAACAACAACAGCAACAAAAAAGAATAAAAATGCATGGAAAGCTTATCAATTAAATATTGATTTGGTATCAATCTCTATTGACCCCATGACTTTCTCAACAAAGAATCTTAATCCACAGAGTGCAGAGATCTTCAAATTCAGTAGGAGACATGTTCTAAGCAGCTAGTTCCTGGAATTAGCTCACTAACAGTGAGGGCATATCCTCTAACCACAGACAGGACAGAAGGGAAAACCAGCAATTTCAGCAGGCTTCATTTTGACTACATAGTGATATAAATGGCCAAATCTTACATCTCGTGCAGACTGGCTCCTGCACACAGACACACATAATGTGCTTATAATGAACAGCACCCAGTGGGGAATTTTCTAAGTAAAGTACCACTAACAAGCTGCTTTCCTGATCGTTGTTGCTGCTGCTGTTGTTGAAATTGTTTTTCCCTGTTAGAATCAGACTTCATCTTCTCAATCTACAGCTGAAATGAGAACAGCATTCCCCAAATCAAGAGCCAAGAGAAAATATAGAATCAAGAAAAACAACTGCAGAAAAGATAAGTAATTTTAATTACCTTTAGAATTATACAGGGATTTGCTCTGGTGTACATTATAATCCCATTGCTTTGCAGGGTTCGCAGACGGAGAGCCAACTTGAATTCCTCTTTCTTGCTATTTTCAGAAACACGGTATTTAATGTAGCTATTCCCAGCAAAGCTAAGGGAAGTGTGGCCTGAAACAACCATTTTGAAAAGACACATGTGCTTTTAGTGATACATGAAACAATTCCTCAACTGTTAAGTAATTAAGGAATTTATAAAGTTAATGACAATGACTAGGAATAAATAAATAAAACCCTTTTTTGACAAGAGAAAACAAAGCTGGCAACTACTACAAAATATTTCTGCCTTTCATTTTTTAAAGCTATTTTTCAGGGGATAGAGGAAACTAAGATTTCTCCATACTTAAAAATAAATAAATAAAAAAAAAGACTATTCAGGATTTTTCAGCTTATACACTCCTGGAGACACCAATCTTGCCTCACTGATAACAGAGGGAATCAGAGATGACCACACCTATACATCAAGCAGTTGAGTTATGGGTGTCAAGTTACATGAGATGTCAGCCAAACCCTTGCACTGAGTCCCCTGCAACCAGTGCCTAGGACCACAGCTCAGTATCTGCTGTGCTTTCATCAGGCAAACAGCACAAATCCTCTGTCCTGCAGCCTGGGATTCACTGAAGTCAACAGAAAGCTTTACCTCTGGCTGTCCACCTGGCTCCTCATATCCCAGGGAACAACACAGATGCAGAGAACTAACAGATGTCCTCAAACTTTCTTTTTGGGATAGTGTAGTGTTTTCATTAATAAAGGTTGGAATTTTGGTAATCTAAATAGTAAGCAGAAGAGTTAATTATAGAGCTTTGCCCATGGGCAGGAAAACATCTGGCATAACATTCTCTAGGAAAAAATCCTGTTTTCTCAGCAGCCTGTTTTACTGAGCTGGTATTCAAGCAAGCCAGTGGGAATTTCCAAACAGAAACTGGATCACAGTCTACATACAGCCCCATAGCTATAATGACAAGTATTTATAGGGCTTATAAACAGACATCCCAAGTGCCCGCGCTGAGATGAGTTAAGCAGTACATTTTCTGTTGACTCCACTGGCACCTCTGCCTGCAAAATGAGAATGGCAGCACTTTATTGTCCAAGTGCATCCCCCTTTATGGCTGTGACATGCACCTGAACACTCGCCAAGCTTTCCCGGTGGGCACTGGCAGATGAACGGTCTCCGGCTGGCTTCGTACCCCACGCACTGCATGTCCCCTGGACACGGCTTCTCCAGACAGGGATCGTTGGACCCTGGGCAGAGTCCTCCTGAAATAAGTTAAAATACTGTCAGGGATCCAGAGTGTAAAGCATGATCTGCTGCAACAGAAGAGCAATGAATGACAATTAATGATCGCACACTTCAGTTACAAGCCAAAAATGGCTTAATAATAATAACACCACCAAAAAAGCCCCAGCAAACCTTCCCAGAAAGGAACAGCTTTTGGACAAGCACACAGCAGAACTGCAACAGTTCTTTTCCAAAGACTGCCCTAAACCCCATGGGAACATATTATAAAAATTAACTGTTATGAGCAGTAACTGGTTTATAAATGGTGTGGTAACTCTCAGGCCATTCATTTTCCTGCAAAGCTTCCTGCACAGGGGCTTTAGAGATATTAGGGAAAAAAAAACTGCTTGAAGCTATGCACTCCTTTTCCCTCAGCATACCTATGAGAAGCAAATCTAAGGAGGCAGGAATGGTCAGCACCAAGCCTGCCAGAATTCAAGAAGCATTTGGGCAATACTCTCAGGCACGTGATTTGATTCTTGGTGGTCCTGTGCAGTGCCAGTAGTTGGACTTCCATGATCCTTGTGGTTCCCTTCCAGCTCAGGATATTCTGTGATTCTAAGCCATGCTTGGGCTTGGGTGACACCTGGATTTGTCATTCTCAGGCTACACAGAACATGCTGCTAGCTTGATCCTACAGCACAGGCAAACTTGCCCTCTCCCTATGCTCTTCCTGATATTTCTGAGATCTCACATCCTATCCAGCTGACCCAGGCTACCAAAACCTGCCCTCCTTTTTTCTAATCCACAGGGAAAGAACTATACTGACTTTCAAATTTACTTAAAATACTTGAGCAACACAATTACATGTAGGTTTTTCAAAACCTCCTAAATTCTTTACATCTATCAAGCCGAGCATGTCAAGGACTTAGTATTTAAAGCCTGTCAATGTCAGAAGAATTTTTTGCATTTCATAGGGTTTGGCTAAAACTTCAATGTAACTTCTAAAAGTGTCTAAATAAATCTGTTTTGATTGCCCTATTCTTAAAAGATTTGCACACACTCTCTATAATAATGCAAAACACGATACAACTATTGCTGCTAAATATATGAATTTTCAGAAATATGTGACTTCCAGAACAGCTTTTGTCTTCTTGGTTACAGTAAGGTACTTGGGAGATGCAGGGTCAGTTTCTACATTTGGACATCTGTGTATGACTATTATGAAAGTAGACTCTAAGAGCAGGAAAAAAGGCACTCCTGCCCTTGCTTTTGTGGATTTGCAGCCCCAGCATGAATGGAGGGAAAGGCAGTTGCTGGGAATGGACAGACACCTCTTCCTTTGTTTATCAAGTTCATTTATTTAAGACATGCAGGTGATGAATTTAATGATAAAAAGCACCTTCCTACCCACTGCATTCTGCATACTGGCAGTTCTTGTATATTGCAGGATCTATACTGTCAGATCCTTACCATATTCAAAAACTAGTTTTTGAATATTTTTGAATATTATTTTTGAGCACATTGTTTTATTTAGACTTAAAGCAAGGAATCAACCTGTCATGGTGTACATCTCCAAAAGTAATTAAAGAAAGAAACTTATTGCTCTCCCACTTTTGTACAAGCCAAACAGGGCTGAAAAGAAAAATTACTACTGTAGCTTTCAAAGTGGACATGGGCTGACTAAAAATATGGCAATTACTCTAAATATCTTCCTTGATGTACAGCACAGTCAATTTAATGTTTAACATCCTCCCCTCCTTTATCAAACATTTGTTTGAGAGGTCTATGGAGTAAAAGATTTACAGTACTGCCTGTAGCACTGCTAGAAAATGATGCATGGCAATCTTTATTAATCACATTAGTAGGTAACATTAAAGGAATATCAGCTGCAATACACAGTCACACTTTAGGCCTCATAGAATCAGGAAAAAACTGTCATAGGGTTCTGAACTACAGATTTATATTCTATTTAAATGTAAGATCTGTAGAATTTAACAGAGGGAATATGATATTTTCTATACTTTGGTTTGTTTGGCTTTTTTTTAAGAATAAAACTCCTCACTTCTTAGAATTCAGTGGCAAGTAACAATTATTTCTGAAATTATAACAGGTTGTTAAAAATTCTACAGACTGCTTGGTTGTTCTAGCTATTTTAACTCATTCTTATGTGACAAATACACAGCATTCTGGTGTCTGCAGAGTATATCTCTTCCTTGAACAAAGTTAAACCTTTTGTGAGGCTGCAATTCAAGTGAGCCTCTGTGTAGCTGACAGACATGCCATTTGGACTAAAGCCCCACAGCTCGTCACTATGCAGCAGAAAGCAACACTGAGATTTCCAAATGTGGCTCTAAAAATTTTCACATCCCCTAACCTATGACTGTGTCTTTGACATGAAGCAATAAAGGAACAGCTTACTTTGTTATCCATCTCTGCCAGGCTTTTTATCTGATTCAAGCTCTGATTTGTACTTTAGAGCCATCCTTCTGCATTCAAAAAATATATGGAAAAGATCTAACGTACGCCGTGCAACAGTGGAGATAACTGTTTATCCTCAACAGCCAGGAATACTCCTTCTGGTAAACTACAAGGAAACCAACTTTTTATTCATCCTGCTGCAGCAGGATTTCATAGCTGTCACAAAACTTTAAAATATTCAGACTTGCGAGAAGTGCTTTATGCCTGTCTGTATGGTTATAAGTACATAAGCTACAAATCTGCATTATTGCATTGCCCCAGCTAACACCCATTTTCAGGCTGATTTCACAACTATGTGGAGCAAAATTGTAAAATTGTTGAAGGTTACGTTGTCCACATCAAAGATTTACAGCCTGAGTTTAAATAAAATTATTCTAATGTTGCATTTCCACTCCAAAGAGCAGTCTATTTTCCATCCAATAAAAGATCCAAGAAATATAGGTTCAAATTGATCTTTTTTTTTTTCTAGGCAGGTCCAGACAATCCACAGCATTCTCTTGAAACCCACATTCGTATTAATAAAACTGTTCTCTACAAGGTATCACAGAAACACATGAGCTAGCATCAACCAGTGCGTGGCAGGAAAAGGTGGAATAGACCCACTTGATTTTGACAGATCATCTTCAGTTTAATTCTCTAAAAGAAGATAAAAGTATTTCAATCTTCTAACCAATATACTGAGGAAGAAAACACTGTTCCATTGCAAGATGAGAGGTTTATTTAATTCCTATTCCTTCAAAAAATGAGCACTTCGAGAACTGTAAATATATTTTGAAAATTGAGTACCTCAACAATTCTAACTTAAGCCTTGTGATATTAGGTGGTTTTTTATCAGCCCAGTCTCCTGAATCTATATGAGTATTAAAAAGACTCAGTTTCTTCTTACTTGTAGGAAAAAAGCTCACAAGGAGGGAGATTCCTGAAAGCCAGAATTGCAGGAAGCTTGTAAAGCAAACTCCAAACCGCTACTTCCAATAATAATTATTTTACTGTGGAGAGAAGACTGGCAACTCATGATCTGCAATCTGTTTTTATTTTTGGATCAGGTACTGAAGGCAGTGATCATTCCATGCATGTCAGTGCAGACACCACAGAACTGTTTCTGCACAAGCCAGCAATGCGTTTCAGTTGGCTCAGGTGCCCCTGGAAACAGCATGTCCCAGTGAAACAGATTCTCTCTGAGTTTTAAGTAACAAGACATTTGAACTCTTTCACCCCCTTCTTGATCCCAGATTCCATCAGGAATCCTTATGTGATAGACAGCAATTCTCACTTGCCTTGGTTCTGAGTCATGCTCCTACTTCACGCTGCAGCTCTCCCACTTTTTATATGAGCTTGTGCATCCTCAGCATGGGCTTTACTGCTGGGGATATTCACAGGGAGAAAACTTTCCTTGGACAAAGGTGACATTAAACAGACTATGGTCAGTTTAATGACTAACAAAATTATGTTGTTCTTTGTTCCCAAGCACAGAACTTTTTCTTCAACTTTCCTTGCCAGGAGGATTCCAGGATCATTAATATGCATGTGTGTGCTTCCTGAAAATGGGAAAAGCCGTGTTGTACACATAAGAACTGCATTGCTGATGCCCACTCCTTAAAAGCATTCAGGCCTCCTTTAGAGGCAATGTGTGCTCTGTGGAGCTGAGGCCAAAAATCAGCTCTGAAGAATAGGTCCTGTATTAACAGCAGACCCTCACAGTCTATGACTTCCTTCTGTCAGAGCACTCACAAAACACTGGAAGTGGCTTCATAAAGTCTGAATTGTCTTGTTTCATGAGAAAGTGCTCCAAGACTGCTGTTATTTTGATTAAAGAATATGTTTGTGTCTGCACTTTTGCTGAACACTCCTGGGTCTATTAGAAAAATTCTTTCAAACTATAAGGCCAGTATGATTTTAAACACTTGAAATGTAATTCATCTCATCTAACTTTAGGGCATGATTCATCTGACTGATTTTAGACATCTAGGGAGAGATGTATTGCACTATTAAAAATACCTCATTCTTCCCACTATCTGCCAATGGGGCCTGGAGTGACCAGTAAAGATGTAGAAATATGCCCATATTTGTCAAGATTATTTCAATCCATCCCTCTCCTGTGAACATATTAATATTCCATCACTTTTGTAAGATTATAATAATGCAGAACAACTCTAGAGCAAAGTAGTCCCAACTAAACCTGCTCTGCCCCTGCACCTTTGCCTCAACACAAAAGAACTACTTTGCATCATGAAAAAAATACAGAATAGATTTTTGCCTCTGAAAAATGAGAATGCTATGAGAACTATTTTACAGGAGTACATTTATTCCATTCCTCCTACTTTTATTTCCCCCAGCACTGACAGATCTGGTCATGCTGACACAAACCCCAGTTTGTGACAATATTTTTCATACAAACACAAACAGATGAGCCAAAAATCTAAGGAGACAGTCTGTTATTGGAAAACTCTTTAGTTCAATTTTATTGATTTAAAAGCTAAGATTGATGCATGTGAACTTTTGAACTTATCCGTTCAGAGCTGAGCTGCTGAACCTCCGAAGTTCACCCACTGCCTACTTTACAGTCTCCCTGCATTTTCACATTAGATAACTCTGTTTGCTCACAAAGGTAATCTAGGTAAGTTATGCACAGCTGGCATGCATAAATTGTGCATATCTGTGACATCTGCCAGTGGGAAAAACACTCCAAGTATGATACATATTTCAAGAATGAGTGAATTAGTTCAAACTCAAGCTTTCTGGGCCATAATTGAATCGGATCTCTGGAAACATATGCAATATTTTAATGGCTTTTTCATAATTCAAGGTATTAATATTTACTGGATGTGGAACTCTCTTAGCAACAAAGGAAGTATAATACTTTTATTACACTGCTAATATCCTGCTAATGCTGTCTCGTTAAACAAGCCAAAATAAATTCGTGCACTTTTTCCTGAATTGCTGCATTTTGTACATTTATTTGTAAGAACTACTGATGGAAGGAGTGTTTTCATTTTTCTAACTCTTTTACTCAAGTCTTTACCTTTCATGAAATCAAAACTACCCATACATTCTCTAACAATTATACTCTCACAAGTCTATGTTATCTCCTATGTGAGAACACACAGTGTGTTTACCATAACACCAAAATACTTTCTGTGACTCCTTTAATTAAAAACAGTAGAAGAAGATGAAGCACTAAGTAATGAGGAGAAGGCCCAAAGCATGAATTTTGCTTTCCCCCAAGATGTATTATTTCTGTGCAAGTAATCAACACCAAGGTGTTCACCTCTTTGTCAGCTGTACCTAACTCAGCCGCTCTGAACATTTTTTTACTACAGGCTCTATGGCAGGCTGGATGTGCTGGATCCAAATTGTGTGGATCCCCCATGGGAAATCCGTACCTAGTGGCTCAAACAGGAGCTGGGGGAGCCCCTCCAGCTTTTCAGCAGGACCAGCACAAGCTGCCTGTTGCAAGTGTTCCCCACACAGCAGTCTTCAAGGCCATGATAAATGGCCCAGAGGCTGGGGACCACAGTCGCTCTCAGAACCACACTGCCTTTCCAGCAGCCTGTCATCCATTTTGAGGATTGACTGGTACATGACAGAAAAATTTGGAAATTGCTGTCCCAGCTGAATTTCTGTGCTTCCACTGCAAGCTTGCTGTGCCAGGAGAGCTGCTGGGTCAGAACTGTGCTGCGCTGCAAAGTCCCTTTTTTGGAGTTAAACTAAGGGATTATGAGGCAGAGGGAATAATACATCATTATTGACTTTAATAGGTAGTGAAATGAAATGATAAACAGTGAAAATTTTGGCTGCCAGAAGAAAAATTTCTGACTGTGAGGACTACCACTATCCCCATGGAGATGAGGATTTGTGATTTCTTGATACAAAAGTGAGACTAAGCTATAACTTAGAGATTATAAAAAAGTTTGGCAGACAGTGTTCCTGCACTGGCTCCTGGACGTGACTGGAGGATACTGCAGCATTGTCCCTTTTAAACCTGTGAAAATCCTTTACTTCAGAGCCTTTCATGTGTAACAAAATGCTGATTATTGTTATGACAGATATGTCTACTTGAAACTTATAAGACTCTTACTTAAAAAGCAGACAGACAGTCTGCTCTTGAATGTACCTCAGATAGAAAATCATGGTATTTTTTTCCAAACTGAACTTCTCTGGCATTATTATCCATGTGCTGCAGGAAAAAAAAAATGATTTCTGGTTAAGTTTTATGCAATTTATGCCTATTTTCATCCCCACCGAGGTCAGTGGTAAAACATGAAGCCCTGCTGACTGCTGCAGAAACAAAGGTTGGTTACTGAGGGATATGGCTGCTGAATTCTTGTATTACTCTGTGTGTGTGTGCGTGTGTGCTTAAGATGAGGGAGACTTAGATGTATTGATTTTACAGCAGCTTTTTTCTCTGCTCTTAAATGAAGTGGAATGAGGAGCAAATAGCCTGGCAAACAAAAGAAACACAGCCAGTATTACAACTGCCTGAGGTTTTAAAATCCAAGTGCAGAATCATACAGAAGATTGACTCGCGAGTCTATTTGTCATATGCCCATGTGAAATCTCTGCCAAAATGTGGAGCAGCCTGAAACCTACTCTGTCCCCTACTGTAGGACTAAAGGTCAGGAAAAGTGCTTGCTAATAAAATATTTCATTGGTTTCTGTGGCTCTCTGCAACAATGGGACTGGAAAGGGCCTTTCCACCTGCCCGGCTTAGGTCAGGGGTGCTTTTCCTTGGAGACTGCTGGTGCATTGCTGGAGGCCAGGCTGCTCTGCTGCACTCACAATCCAGGTTTATTCCAGTGGTGGCACCAATAGACTGGGAAACTACACCCCTCCCTCTCCTCGTCCTTCCTCTCCCGCTCCTTTCTCTCGCTTGGAAACTGGCTGATGGCTCTGATTGCGGAGCCTCCAGGAAAGCGGTCTTTGTCAGAAAAGGCCAAAGTTCATAAACTTCCATTTACATCAGTAAACAGGAACAATTCTTCCTGAGCCTGAGAAATCAGTTCCCACAACGCATCAGCCAGTCATGCTTTAGTGGACTGAATTGAAATGCCCCTTCTGATCTGCATCAGAGGAATAAAATGGATCCTATCGCATAATGTGCAGCGATGGCAGGGGAAGAGGGAGCAGTACTCACCATTGCACATGCAGCGCACATTCCTGTAAAAGCGGGGACACACAAAACTAATTCGTGCTGTGCTGTAAGTCATCAGGGAATGGGAATCAATAGACAGACTTTGCTCACAGTGTTGTTCCTGACAATCCAGTCCCGAGCAATTCTTCTCCAGGATGGCAGAAATACGAATCACATTTTCCAAGTGTCTCCTCGCATTGGTAAGCTTCTGAATCAAATAGGCGGGCTTATAGAACCCACCGCTGTGCATCTGAACCGCAAAGAGCATGTCGAGCTGGCCGCTGCCTGCCACCGGCTGAATGCTGATGATGTGCAGGCTGTCCTGCTTCTGGGAGAGCACCGCGTTGCGCAGGGTGCGCCTGAACCCGTGCATGTGCAGACCCACAAAGTCCTCCGGGGAAACGTTCTCAAAGCGGATGGTGACCGTGTTCTGCAGCATTTCTTGCAGCAGCTGCTCCACGTGGACCACAACATCGATGGGCACCTGGAACCGGCCATCACTCACCGAGACGTTCAGGACGTACTTGCCGTTATCCAGTCCTCCGAGGGCGATGATCTTCCCGTCGTGGCTGTTGACCTTGAACAGGCTTTTCTGCTCGGATTTTAGCGTGTACGTGAGGACATCGTACACATCCTGATCTGTGGCATGAATTTTCCCAATGACTCCCCCAGGAAAATCATCTTCCATTGTAACAATGAAAATCTCCAGTGGAATGGCGGTTGGTTTGTGAATGCTCTCTTCAATAACCCTCACCTGAACATAGGTATGGGAAACCTGCTGAGGCCTCCCAGAGTCCTTTGCCTAATGTAATGCAGAAAAAATAAAAAAATAATTAAAACCAAAATAAAACCACACAGAACACAGCCTGCAACCATAACTTCTTGCTATGTATATTCTCACAGCATCAGTAATTCCGAAAATTCTCAAAAGAATGCTCGAATGCATTTGCAAAATACATATGTAAAGAAGTGTTCAGCCATTTCTAGCAGTGGAACTTACAAACTCTTTAAGGAAGCATAGATCTCTAAGTGGATTGCAGAGAGAAATGTGTCAGTAGAATGTCTCATTACTCAAACTGAAATATTCCCAGGATCCCATAGCTATCACTTGTCATCTTCACAACAGAGTATATACCAACAATGTGGTATATTCTGCACCAAACACAGTTTGGGCTCACTTCTGCCCTGGAGAACAGACAGACTGAATTCCAGTGAAATATCAGCTTTCTGCATTGCCTGGTGTGCTCCAAAGCACTCCAGACCCTGCTTAGCTTGTATGGATGCGAGAGAGTTCAGAATTTTTCTACAACATTCTGTACTTCTTTACCTGAAGCAATCAAGAAACATGCTTGACATAAATAAAATTTATCATCCTCCAGAAATGAAATAGGTGCTCGTGCTGTTACTAATGATAAAATACGAGAGCAGCACTGCACTTGGACAGATGACTGGATGACCCAGAGCAGGTATTATAGCATCATTTGCACTTTTTTTATGGAGAGCAAAAGAGCAAGTATGACAAAAAACCCAAGGCCATCTTGACAGGAATGTGTGCAAACTTGAATCAGTGTCCTTTTGCACAATAAGAAAAATGTTTTATTGCAATCCCTATTACGATATACTGCTCCACACATTTATTTGCTGCAGAGAAAAACAGCAGACTAAACTGCCACTAGGCAAAGATGTAGGATATGTTCAAAAATCTTTGTATTTGGACACGGAAGGAAAATTTATGGGCTGAAGGAAAAAGTGGCAGAATGACAACAGTAATGTGGACACTACTAGAAGTAGATTGGTAACTCCAAGACACTTTAAAATTCATTCATATTCACTCCTAAAAGAGCTGGGTGGAGTATTTAAAAATACTTTATATATATGTGTAGACAAATACCCATGTACATGCAGATAAGATTATGTCTCATTCCACTTTCTATTTCAACATTAATTCTTAATAAACCCAATACAGAGGAGAAACCTGATAGTGGAAAAGAGAAAGAAGCAGTCTGGCATCCATCCACATATGGATGGAAAGAAACACTTCTGTGGTCTATACACAACAGGAAACTATAAAATATGTTTTCACTGCAGAAGTCCCTGAAGGAAGTAACGCTGGGAGGAATCATGCCTCCATAATCCAAAAGTGTTGTTTTCTGAGCATGTTGGTACATCTCAGACACGGTGGTTCGTCTAATATTTCATTTATACGAAATATGTGGAGCTCTAAAGCTAGAGGATGCTGCTCAAATTTAACTCTCATGCCCAGTTTTGGCTACACTAGAACTCTGGCTAGAAAATTACCTTGAAAGTAGGATATTTTACGATTCAGGCATGGTAAGAAAGAAAGGTGATGATTTTTTATTTCTCTACATGGCTAAAGAAAAGGTTTCAAGGATACTAAATGGCAAACTTGTAAAACATTGATTTGAACTGTTAATTAGCATCAGAACTTATATTTTATGAATCATAACGAACAATTGTATCTAAGGATGTTTCTGCTGTGAATAGCATTAAATGTGCTTGTAAAGGAACAGACAGGCTGTGTTCAGAGAGAAAACTCTCAGCAAAGCAAGTGGAGGAAGCAAGAATTTCATACACAGCTTATGGGACCATGACTCATTTCAGTGAAGAGGTTCATTACCTAGACTTGCATATTTACTGAACCCTAATACATCTTCTCTGGTAGACCTGAGAAATGTGGACAAATTACTTTTGGATTTACACATTTTGGCAATCAAAATTACCCTGGTTAAAAAGCTTCTCACCAGTTATTCTAAAGCTAAGTTTGAGCTGGACTTCCATTGCCTGTCTTATTTTGACATACTTTAAAAGCTAAGTTGACCTTGGAAATGTGATTTCATGAATTCTTGAAAGGCTTCCAAAAATTTATTATTAAATTTATAACTTAAAAGCAGAAATTATTTTCGTTCCTAGAGCAGTATTTTGCAGTGACTTGTTATGGGGTGTATTTATATGCATATAATGCATTTTTTCTCATTTTCCTTCCTTAGCTACAGAAAAAAATGATGAAAATCTTAAACCATAACGGTTGCTGCTCAGAAAATTCATTTCATGCCGGGGAAATTGGAAAGGTGGCTGGCTACCTATTTATATTTATATGAAACCAGGTTTAAGAACATCAAAGAAAATATTCTGCATTGTGTATTTGCAAACTGGAATGTGTAGTATTTACTCATAGAATACAGTCCATTAAAACCAACCCATACAGGCAAAGTACGAGTTACCTACCACTAAGAGATTTTTTTGTTTCAGTGTAGATGCAAAAATCAAGCCTTACCTGCACACAGAGCACATACTCAGTTGAGACCATGTGCTTGAAGATGACTGCAGACCTCAAAACGCCATGAGGGTCCAGTGTAAACTCCTCCTCTTCATTGCCAGTGAGGATGGTGAAGGTAAAAGGGGGGCCATTGTGAAAAGAGTCTTTGTCTGTCACTACCAGCTGCAAAATGCTTGTGCCCACTGGTTTATTTTCCTTTACACATATACACAGCGTATAAAGAAAAGGATTAAAATGGTACATATTGCAATCATAAAATAACCACATTTTTCTATAGAGAATATTCAACTGAATGCTCTTTGCCCAAGCCAGCATTTCACAAGCTGCGTTTGGCTGAAACCACTTACACCCCATGGACCAGTGGCAGAGACACCTTCAGGGCTGCTGGGCTCTGTCTGATACTCTGTCTGGACCATCAGAACTGACTAAATGTCAAGACTGACTAAATGTCAAGACTCACACCCAGAGCAAGGTGTGAAGAAGTGTGAACTTATCCCAGAGCAGACATTTTGAGGCTGGAGTACCTGGTGCAGCAGGGATGAATGCTAAAATGTGTGACAGATGCTGTGGTTAAGGAGCCTCAGCAAAGACAAGCTTACCAAAAGACTCAAGAAAGATTTGTTTATGCTTTCCTTTAGATAGGATCACTTGGTAACATGTTTTGCAGATAGATCATCAAAAGGTACTTAACTGAAACCAAATGCCCATGCATTTTAAAAGAGAAGTTTTTGATGTGCAGGATAAACTTACTTGAATTACAGCTGTGTAGTTAGCTGGAGTAAACACAGGACTGTTATCATTCACATCAGAAATGTCCACATTGACCGTCACGGATGAAGACAAAGGAGGGGTACCACTGTCTCTTGCCTGGACAACTAATGAATAGCCAGATATCTGGAAAAAGGTGAAAACATTGAATCATTGTGAAAGTGGTCCTAAATTTAAACCCAGGTTCTTTACATTCAATGCACCACCTTCCATATTCTAGGGAAAGCTGTTTGGCCTCATTACTTTCCTGCCCTTAGTACAACATTATCCTGTTTATCGCCCCAACTTCTGTTTTAAAATGCTACCAATAGACATAATGGCTTCATTGTATTAAAATAACTGTATCAGATAAAGCATTCCTGAAACAAAGGGGCAGACAGAAAATAAATGACAGATAATATCTGAACTCAGCTATTAGTCCTGTAAGCTTACATTTTCATCTCTCCTGGGTGTCAGCTGGGATAAGTGACCTGATTCTATTTATCTTACAGCTGGTTTCCAAGATATTATATAAATTGCTTATTAGAGCCAGCATCAGTTTGACACATACTGTTTCTAACGCGGTGATGGAGAGCCAAGAAAAAGTTCACAGGCAGTTGGCTTAAACACGCTGGAAAACATTTGGGAGTACGAGGGACAACAGTCTCTGTAGCAACAGAATATTATCCACCATTCTGCAGAAGATAAGTGGGCTTGAGTCTGCTTGTTTGCAACAGACACAAACAACTGAGCGCAGTGCAGGCAGTTCAGTGCATCATCCACGGGCCCTCTACACACATATGTGCCCGTGTGTGAGGTGTGAGCATATGTGACAACTTGTAAAAGCTCTGTCTATGCACAGTTTATGGATGACAGTTGGATTTTCCGAACTGCATCCTTATGTTGGCTTCCGTAGGTCTTACAACTGCTTTTTTACTGTATATTGCTCCTTGCTCTGCAGGGAAAGCTGCTGACATATCTGCCCCTGAATCCTCCCACAGGGGAGCAAGAGAAGGGCAAAACATGCCAGATACAACACTCCACCCTCTCAGTGCAGGGCTGGAAAGGGGAAAAGCATGGCCCTGCAGAGGGGAAAAAGATAATGTTAAAGGGGCTTTTTATGGAGGAGGGTGGGAGGGAAGGAAATCCAAATATGTTTGAAAAGTAAATGCTTTTTTTAGTGGTAGGGAGGAGATCAGACCGAGCACACAAAATAAGAGGGCTCCTCTGGGATGTGGGACCAATACAGAGAAAAAGGGAACGTGTTTTTGGGGGGTTGTATGGAGGGGATAGACATGATTTGTTTGGGGAAAAGTAACAGAGGAAAGAAGAGAAATACTGAACTATGGAAAGTCAAGAAATTTGAGGAAGAGAATTAATCTTTTTTTTAATCGTAATTTCCACTGCTAGCTAAAGACAGAGAGTTTTGTAAAATCTTTCCCATTTTTTTTTTCTGTGTTTGCTTTCATTTCCATGTATCCAGAAAGGTAGATGGCAAAAGTCATGGTCTCTATGTGATTACAGCTCTGGAAATAAGTCTCCTTAAACTACAGAAACCTGGGAATCAGCACTGCCTTTGGGGATCTACAGCAGATGGAGCATCATATATAAATTTCCCTGAAGGGGTCAGAAACACCTGTGTCTCCAAAATGTGCCAGGGAAGCAAAGAAAAAGACAGTGTCGCAGCTTATTTTAACTGAGAGAAACTTTGGAAAATGCAGACCTAACGCAGCTGGCATTACACGTGCACACGCTTGTGAGGGTTAGTGTGTGTGTCTGAATGCAGCTGCACATGAATGCACTTCAGAAACTAAAAAAAGTCATATTAAGAAACTCAGCCTGGGCTTTTATTTACGGCCAACTTGTAACATGCACAGCCATTGTTACACCCTGTTGTGGACAGTCTATGGTAAAGTCATTCTATCACCAAACATGAACAATTTAATCCTGCCTTTGTCATAATACAGAAAGGGGTTTTTGCCACTGTTTTAAGAAGCAGACCTGCTTCTAGTAAAGAGCTTCTCCAGCTGAGCCCATATTCTGCAGGCAGCAACCTGCTTCCCCAGTTTTGTGGGTGCATTGCTGCGAGGCAGGGGGCATGGATTCCTTATGCACTGCAAGATTTCTGAAGCCATGTAACATTCTCCTGCCCTGCTAGAAGTACAGGCAACTGCATTTGTTTGTTTTTTTTCCCAAAAGCTGCTAATTGCTAGCTATGGCAAAATGGTGATAAATAATCCTGAATGAATAATGGAGTGAGCAAACAAAGCAGCAGAATCTGCTTAATGAAGCACTCTTTCACTTTTGGTACAGCCTGGCCACTTCATAACATCCCCTCCCCAGTGACATGTTTTGCAGAGCGCTAATTAATGGCTGAGGTCTCAGCTCGGTGCTCGGTGCCACAATCTGGAGCATTTTGTAAGCACTCTGTTGCACGAGTGCGCTTGCACGCAGAGGGGAGAGGAGGCAGCCCATTAACACAGCAGCAGCTCCCGCTGGCACCGCGGGGGAAATCCAGTGCTGCTCCTCTCCCCTGACGCGACCCCGGCTGCTGGGTGGGTGCAGGGTGGGAGTGGCGGCAGAGCAGTTGGCCTGTAGATAGACTGGGGACAGGGCTGGCATGGAATGAAGAGGGAAAATGTTGGAAAGACCTGTTGGAGCATCTTAGGCTGATCAAGTATAAAAGAAACTCCTTCAACACAAGCTAGCAGCAGAGTGGAGATTGATGCACATCTGTAAGTCATTGCAAGTTAAGAAGTCCCACATGTCTTACCCTTTCTCTATCCAATTTCTTTTTAACCTTCACGAGTCCCAGAACAGGATCAACTGAAAATTCATTGTCTTGATCCCCATTCACTATGGAAAAATGAATCTGACCATTGGGAGGACTGTCCAGATCTTCTGCTATCAACTTTTTTTGAGAGAAGAATAAAAAATTAGTGAAACAAATATTAAGTGATCTTTATGATACATTAATTGCTCAACACTCCAAAAAGTAAACTTCACATTCCATCAGACTAGTTATACCTGAACTGCACACTTCTATAGCATCAATCCTATAAGTTTTTGTAAGGAGGCTTCACTTGGGCCTTTTCAAAATTCTAGTCTGAAAACATACGGAATGTTTTTATCTTAACATTTCATACAACACTCTCTCTCTGGATCCACAAGTTGCAAGATGAGAATACTGCAAAGTTTAGGGATGGCACACTGCATGCCAGACTATACAAAAATTGTGTATTTGGTGCTCTGAGCAACCCTGTGCAGTGAAAGGTGTCCCTGCCCACATCAGGGGGGTTGGAACTAGATGATCTTTAAGATCTCATCCAACCCTATGACTCTATGATTGTATTTCACTGAAAAGTTTAATTCTGCCTTTCTATTAAAACCTGTTTCTTTCTAGCTGACTCATGAAATGCAACACTTTAAATACACCATTGCTCTTTGACAGCATAACAGGGTTAAAAAGAAAGGTACTACTACTGCTTTCTTTTGGGGAGAAACGCACAGCAGCTTTGAGAGCAGTAGCAGACGCAGAGTATTGGCTAGAAAATGGTTTGGGGGCTTCAAGACGTAGTAATTATCATTATTAAGCGGTGCAGCACTTTTTTAGGGGCAGAGGGTTTCACCACACCTAAATGCCACCCACGGCCCCACTCACCAAGACCACGGAGTCCCCGATGGCCGCGTCCTCGCTGATGACGGCGCTGTAGACAGCCTGGCTGAACGTGGGCGCGTTGTCGTTGACGTCCGTCACGTTCACGTTCACCGTCGTAACCGCGCTCAGTGCTGGAGTTCCTCCGTCCTTTGCTTCCACTACCAAGTAGAAGTCCTTGCACGATTCAAAATCCAGAGCTTCGAAAATGGAAATCACTCCTTTGAAGCAAAGGAGGGAATGTCAACAGCCAGCAAAAAATAAATAATGCCACAGAGTAAGGGATTTGACCGTAGTAAACAGTACAGCATGCTATTTATCACCATGGCACACATACAACACTAACTGTAAGACTGCCCAATCCTATAAAAATGTTTATTCAGGTTTCTACTGCTGTCGTTTGATTAAAGAATGATGCCAACTGCACTTGGGTTGCCTCTGCAGAAAGGACCTTTACAAGGCATGAGGCAATGAATGGTTCCTCAGGAAAATAGCTTTCACTATGTGAGTATCACAGATGAAGAAGTAGGGGCCATATCCACCCATTTACCATCTCATTCACAGAGCCTTTGGGAGAACTGGATGCCGACTCTGGAAATAAGCCCTGACAAGTCAACAGAAATTCACTCCCACACAATTAACTTCTCATGAATTAAATACAAATGAGGATATGAATACCTCTGAGAAATCAGTTGTCTATCATTTAAGTGATTAAACAGAGACTTTCCCACTCAGCTAGGTTTATAAATTTTGTGTTACTTCACCACACCACCAAAATTAAGATTCTCTGTAACTTGATTCACTACACGCACCCAGATTCCCTCTAGGATAGAAATGATCTGATTTCTAGTGTTCTTATAAACCTCCAACAATATCAGCTTCCTAACCTTCTTAGGAAATACATTTCAGGACTTAATAATCATTACAGCTAGGAATTCCTTCCAATCATTTAACCAAAGTAATCCAAATGTAATTTAAGCCCATTCACAACTTCTTTTCTTATTACCGGGCATGGAGTACAGTTTATTCCCCTCTTCTTCACAGGTACTTTCTACAGGTATGAAAATTAACAGCATATCTTCTTTTTTCTACCTTAAACAGCCTTAAATCCTTCAGTCTTTCCTGATAATTCACATTTTACAGACTTCAGCTCATTCCTCTTAATCTTGTCTTGGCTCTTTCCAAACGAATTCCACCTTTCAGCGTGACTTGCTGAAAGCAAGAGCCCTGAAGAGAAGCTTCCAAGTGGCTAGCAGACAGTTCCCACTGATAAATGGTGTGGAGGACATTATTTTTCAAGCTCAGATCAGGCATGCTAGATCACCAATCTGCTGTCTAGAAACTGAGCTCCTGCCTCTAAAAGGATAATAAGGGAGCTGTCACACATTAATGAATAATATATAGTTTTAGTTTTGGGTTGTTTTTTTTTCCTGTGTGATTAAGCTTCATTATGGGTTTTTATTGATTTATTTCCTTGGCTTCATTGTCAAATGTGAAGTTAAGTACTGCTGCCTAGGCGTATTTATGTTTAAATTTTGCTAGCACTAATCAGCATGATGAAGGTGACAGACAACACACAGTTACGCTAAGTCCCTCACATGAGAGGCAGCAATCTCTACAGAGTGGAGAGCCATTTTTGCACACAATTATAGAAATGACACAATACATAATTTTGAGATTTTTCATGTTACTGGTTATTACAGTTACACCCAAAGAAGTGTTATCTTCAGCTTTTAAAAAGCTTTTTTCAGCTTTTAAAAACTCTTTGCTTTCAGACTCTGGTGGCAGATTTGCACTGGTCATCCTGAATGCTATGAGAAGAAGGGGATCCACTACAGGAAGGCATAGAAGAAAAAGCTTACAGTTGATGGAATAAAAGCTCAGTGAGGATAAAGAATATATCCCACTAAGGATATTCAAAGAAAATGAGCCATTTACACCAAACATAATGCCTTTCCTAGGTCATTCTTATAGAGAAGCAGTGGTGTACTTCTAAAATTTGTGATGTATAACCAAAAAGACCTCAACCCAAGCCACGGCTGAAATAAAAACAGATTAATCAGAAAAACCTAAGTCAGGAAAGCTGCATAATGGTGATCACATAATAGGACTGAATTAGTCCTAACAGGTCCTTGTAGCACTGGTAGATGCTTTCTAAGGGGCAGACAGTAATCACATAATAGGACTGAATTGGTCCTAACAGTAGCACTGGTTGATGCTTTCTAAGGGGCAGACAGTTGAGGCTGTACTCAGCTGGTAAGCAAGCAAACATTGCAAGTGTTCAGAAGTGGTTTGCACAGTTTGGCTAATAGGTTGTCACATCTGTATTGGCTGCAACAGACTTACTAATGGAGAAAAGTATTCTACACTTGAGCTGGGGCAGCCAAGTGTGACCATAATTGACAGCACTCTCCAACCTAAAATTGCTTTTTAACTCTGTAGTTAATTACGCAATGACAAGCTGTAAGTCTCTGGCCTTGGAAATCTTGTGGTCCAAGAGGCTTCCCCAAAGCATTCATGTTTTTCTGATGCTTTAATTTAGCACTGCAAGTAAGAGCCACTTTACAAACCTGTTTTTGAGTTAATCCGGAACTTCCCTTTCTCATTCCCTGATCTGATGAGATAGGCAATCTCAGCATTTGTACCAATGTCTTGGCTTGTAGCAAAAACAGAAAGGACCTCGGTGCCAGGTGAGGTGTCTTCAGGTACCGTAACAAGATAATCTCTTCTTTCAAACACGGGAGGGTTGTCATTAATGTCCAGCACTGTAATGGTAACGGTGGCAAACGAGGATAAGGTCAGCACAATGCTTTGGTCTGAAGCCTTTACAGTGATGTTATAGGAGGACTGAAGCTCTCTGTCAAGTGGATGCTCCAAAATAATGATTCCTGATGACCGGTCAACTGAGAAGTAACCATCTGCAGAGTCTGACAGGGAATAGGTGACTTTTCTGTTCACTCCTGGAAGAGAAGCAAATGGTAAAATAAAAATGAGACACAAAGAAAAGAAAAATCTCTCTCCATCTAATGGAAACCCTAAGCAAAATCTGCTATCATGCTGAGCATTTCCAGTGGGGGTAGAGGTAGGAGTGCCTTGTGGCTACAGTATTGCTGAAAGTTTGGGAGATCAGGACATGCTCTTCTCACATGATAAATCCCTTTGGATAAGTTAAGTTCCTTCCCTCATCATGATACTTTTTTTTAAAGATTACTTTGCAGAACTGCTGTGTATTGAAACCTGAAAGCAGAATCCAGATATGGCCCTTGCCCAGAACAGCTTATAATTGAATTAGATGAGACAAGCAGAATGCTGAAATTGGAAATGTCTCAGAGCACATCTTGAAGGAGTAGAAATGTACATAAGGGGAAAATAAACCCATAGAAATACATCAGAATGTACTTGCTACCAGTGCTGCCTTGATTCCACTGTTGAGCAGAAAAATATTATGATACCTATTAAATAAAAGCTGCATTTAAAAACTCCTGCCAGAATATGAACATTTTAAAAAGGGAAGTCCCTCTGTTCCCCAGTCTAAGAGCAAAAATCGAGTTGTACAAAAGATATCCTGTGTTTTTAAAATTGTGCCTGTATTTCCCAACGCAAAGCACCTATCCACCTGGCTGCTGAATATGCAGATCTATGCTAAGGTTGTTGTCAGTAATAAGGCCTGAGGGGATGGCACTGACTTGGTTTCTGCACTACAGCGGGATAGCCATTTCAAATCTAATTAAAAGTGAACACAGATACAAGCTAATTCAACTCCCTTGATGCTAGTTGATTTTGTGATTTTGTCCTGGGTGCTTCAGTAAGAGACTATAACTAAAGCACAAAGACCCGCTAAAATGGAGAGTCTCTGTTTTTAACATCTCTCACTTGAGAATTTGCTGCTATTTTTGTTGGAGAACAAACTTTACAAGCCTGACATTAATCAGATGAACAAGAGCTACCAATCCCTTCTAGGCATATTTTGTTAATTTAAAATTTGTGACAGTATTATTCTGCTTTCCAGCAGCAAAGCATTGTAGAAACGTCTGATCAAAAGCAGCACAAATCACAGCTGTTTTCTGCTTGATGTAGCAGGAGTTGAGCATCCACACAAGGGGGAGCTGGGAGACTCTTTGTTGAATCACACGCACATAAAAGCTAGAGGAACTACAAAGTCCCAGACCCTACTTGAAGGGCGTTAGGAATTACTGTATGGCTCTTCAGAGAATAAAGTTTTTATGCAGTGCTTGAGATACCAGAGTATATTTAAAAGGTTCAAATGTCTTTTAAACATGGAACAAATTAAATGGCAATACTGCAGTGAATGACTCTGTTAGGTTTTTTTGTGTTGTTCTGTTTTGGTTTTCCATCACAGCCGAGCCCCTCCATTCACCATGGCATCACAAGTGTCAAAAAATGAAATGTCCCACCTTCAGCAAAACAGCAAGGCAATCAAGAAAGTGACTCTTGTCCTATAGAGAAGGAACTGAGCTCAGCCCATGAACTCACAGGAGCTGCCTTCATGTTAAAGCATTAGGCTTTGAATACCCTACAGCTGCTGGAGAGCACAGTCACCCCTTTCCTTAGTCTCTTGATACATACACTCGAATACTCTGCCAGCTGACAGTCAACCAAACTGACAAACATTAAAAAGGAGTAAAGCCCTCTAGAAAGTGGAAGATTTTTCAAAATCTGAATGGTTGGAGGTATCTATGTTCCCAGCTGGGGAGATCTTCGCTTGGACATCCTCCACAAACTTCCACTTAAAAAAAATGACAGACCTGACCATAACAATTACTGAGTTAGTAATAACAGCTGATCCTCAGCGATGCTGGAAAACGGGCTTTTTCTCCTCCTTGATTCAGAGCATGACACTGAACACCCAACCTACAAAGGAGTTTTAACTGTAAAACTATTTAGTATTCTCCACCACCCACTCTTGGTGCCTGCCAGTTTCTACACAGTGTCAAACACTCCTCTGAGGCAGGGGGCCTTAAGCCACCTTTTACATGTCTGTGACTGCAGGAGAGCCTTAGCCTGGTTTGCACTTTTCTCTGGCAGAAACTCCCTTTTTGATACTCAGTACAGCATGCCTGTACACAAGACAGAAGATTCATACACCACACAAGTCCTTAAGGGCCCAAACAGCTAGAAAGGAAATGGCCAACAGATGCCTTGAAACACCATGAAACTTCAGCAAAAGGACCTTGCAATGGGAAATGGGGAGAGAGAATTTGGTAGATGCAACACCATGGAGGGCAAGTTTATGTACAGGAGGTAATAACTCCAGTAAAAGCAATGTGACATATAATCCAGCCCCTCTTCTTGTATTCTACTTTCTAAAAGAGATGCCCATGAATTAACAAAATATTAATAATGTTTTTGAAAGCAATTTCTGGTATTCCTACAATAGAAAGAGGTCAGACATAGATTATCGTGTTCTGGGTGCTCACTCTAATATATGGAATTTTGAATCTTGAAGGTAAGTGCTTTTATTTTTCCTCCCTGGAAAATGAGAGAGAAATATAGGAGTTCCAGAGCCATAGGTTATCTTGTACCAGTCTGGTATGATGAATAGTCTAATTTTTCCCATGGGACATGAAAGAAAAGCTCTTACAGGTGAAAGTGCCTTTTTATGCACAGAGAGACAGAAGACAGGTCAGAAGACCTGTGTAGGGATACAGATACCAACCCTTGGTGGCTTTTGGCCCAAATGCCAAAAGGAGAAAAAAAGGGAGACATACAGAGGGAGATCTTAGCTTTGTGCTGACCCTCTTGTAGAGCGTTTTGGTGGGTGGAATTTAGTATTTGCTTCTTAGGGGTAAAATCAGTGAAAAACGATGGCAGAAACAGCACTTTGAAGTGTGGCGTTACATCAGTAGCAGTTTCTACTGAGCTTTCTGACCCAAGGCTGGGAGAGAAATGGACATGAGGCAAAGATGGAGTAGGAAGCTATTTCTACTGAAACTGCTTTATTCCAGAGGCTACCCTCTCCTGAGAGACAAGTGTCCACAGGTGTGTGTCAGTGGCATCCCTGCCACAGAGGTGATAGCAGATTCTGCTATGACTATAAAGGAGATACCTTCTGTGCTTCAGTGCCATAGTTCCTGCACTGGTAAAGAGAGCAATCCTCCCACACTGCTTGCCTACAGCTGTTGGGGGATTAATGTTTGCAAACTGTTTGCTGTCAACTCACTCACTCAAACTTCTCATATTTCTAAGGTGCCAATCATGAACATGAGCTATTTGAACACAGAAATAAAACATACACCCGCCTAGTACCTCAAATGCCATTCTTCAAATAGGCTTTTCTTCTTGGTTTTTTCTGTACTAAAACAAAGGGGCACACACTGAATGTCAAATTATGACAACTTCTATGTCATTACTACTTTAAATAGCATCAGGAATATATAATAACTTCTCTTCATAATTCAGCACTGTCAATATCCTCCTTGTATAAAGTATAGAATCACAGACTCATTCAGGTTGGACAGGACCTTTGAGATCATCGATTAGCCCAGTACTGTTGAGGCCACCACTCAACCACATCCCTGAGTGTCACATCTACACATCTTTTAAATACTTCCCAAAGTCGTAACACAACTACTTCCTTAGGCCTGTTCCAGGGCTTGACAATACTTTCAGAGAAGAAATTTTTCCTTCTCTACATCTTAACCTCCCATGGCTTAACTTGCTG